AATGAAAAATCTCAAATTCACACTAGCTGTATCGTAAGCATAGAAATGTCTCAATTATTTAATTATCTTTTTTCTGACAAAATTCTTTGATTAAAACAAAAAATACTGCTCAAACATAAACAATATTTGTGAGAACAAAAAAATGAACAATAGATGACGAACGTTACACAAAACAATAATGTATTTTCAGTTGTGCGTTTAAATATCTATATTACAATGTTTATCCTATAAAAAGACATTTCATCAATTTTACAGTTTGTATCATTCTTTACAACAAGATTTCAAAGTTTTTTTTTTTAAAAAAAAATCTGTGAGTCCGATAAACAAAAAAAAAAAAATAATAATATATATTTTTGTATTTTATAAACATTCCATAATTTTTTTCAGGACAGATATATGAAACAAATAATAAACACTGGAGAAAAAAAAAATTTCATAATATAAATACTTTGCATGTTTCTGTTGTATACAAATTTCTACAAACGGGACAGCTATATACACAAGCATTATCTGGATGGAGAGGACAACAATGAATTATAAGAACTTTCAATGAATTTTATTACATGTTGCAATAAAATAGAAAACTTTTCTTTATTAGGAGATTTTTCCTTCCAATGAAGCTCATACCACTATCTGATTATGCTCATAATGGCAGATCATTCAATTAAATTAGCCATTTCATACACAATTCTTTACAAGGATTCCTATAGACAGGAAAGATGCTAGAAGCCTCAATAGTAGAAAAATACTGAAAAACACAAGACCAAGTCAATTGTTTATATATTTTTGAAGATGAATTTATTTATGAGGAATAGATTTTATGAAGAGTTAGTTTTAAAGAAATTTTTTTAAAAGCAGGTCACAAAATAAAATAAAAAATCAGCTTTGATGTTAACTCTTAACTAACAATTACTTAATTTTTTCTTATTTAATTCAGAATTATGTCAATTGTTTTAAAATTATAAACCAAAGTACAGCTAATTTTGAATATGTATACAGAGTATTTTTAAAGTGAACAAAAAAAAAGTTATCAGTTCTTAGCACATTGCTTTCCCTACGGATAATAAAATAAAGAGTTATGGTAAGTATTTTTGTACGGTATATAAAGAATTTTTTTTAATAAATCTTTGAACTACATGTCTTGAAAAAATTTTTTTTGTTGCAAAAGTAGAAAACTCAAATTGGTATCACTGCGTTTCAAAATTTCATGTTATAACTTCTAAGTTTTTTTTTTTTTAAGGAAATTAGTTGGAAGGAAAATAATTTTACTTTTCTTTTTTTTCTTCTTCTCATTAGTTTTTGGCTAGAAGGCCCACACATTGACCATTCAAAGAACGCATTTGGCTCTAGATGTAATTTTTTTACTTTTCCAAATAACCGTCCAAATAAGCAAACTGGAGATAATTGTAACCCAATTCATTTCTTTCTACTTGAATTCCTTTACCAGAATTCAAAATTTTGAGTAGAGAAAAGCACTTTATTTTAGTGGTCTGCAAACAGGCACAAAACATTTTTAAATGCAAATCATATCTGAAGGAGACTTAGTCATAAATTTTAATACCTTTCACAGTTATTAAGTTGGATAATTGAGGCATTTCTGATTACAGAGTATAATGTTTAACAACTTTGTATGGGGAATTTTTTAAGATTAAATTATAATAAATATATTTTATACTGCATTTTGCTTTTTTATAAAAAAAATTTTCAATATTTTTATGACATACAATCTAAAAGACTTTATTTTTCATTACAAAATGAAGTTTTTATGTATAAAATTAAAAAAGCAAACAAACATGAATTGAATACAAAAAGAAACTATAGATAAATGCAAAGTGAAAGCATTAAAATTTATGAAAAATAACCAATTTTGCTGGAAATAAAACTGTATTTTATTCTTAAAAGCAATTAAAATTTTTTCTATAGGAAATACAAAAAAATATATAGTTTTTATGAAAAGGGGAAAAATTATCATTCTGTGATATTCGAACAAATATTAATATTTTAAAATATTAATTAATGTAATTAATAATACTTTATAATATTAATAATTAGGCTTAATATTTTAAATATTACATATATAGATATATTTCTTTCAGTAGTTTTCTTCAAATGAAGTATCCAAAGCATCTTGTCATTGTTAAATTATAGTTATAAAGTTTTATTATTTGATTTTCAAAATTAATCCAGGAACTTAAAATATTGAAGGGGGGAAAACTATCTTATATTTAATATTAATTTGACATTAGATTTCATCAGGAACAGGATGTTTGCCTTTAGAACTTTTAAGAATTTAATAATTTATTTGCACTTTCTGCCTATTTTTGAATGCACGCTAAAAATGAATAAACTACGTATTAAAATAACAGCAATAATTCTCTGGTTTTTTTTTAAGCAAATAAAGGAAAGAAAATGTTCAATAGTTTTTATGTTCATTGTTGTTATTTTCATTTTTCCGTCATGACTTAAACAAATAATGAAAAAATTATTGTAGGTTACTTTTTCTTTTTCTTAACAAATAACAATGTAAGGGTTATTATGAATAAAAATTGAAATTTCATTTTTATAAACAAAAAATATAGAAAACTTATGATAATATGCATTTTTCAATGAACTATGTACAAGGGCATTTTGTCCGAGATATATTTTAAAATTATAAGAGATCCTTTGTATTTAAAAGTTGCCACTATTTTCCACAAGAAAATAGTTAAATTTAAAATAAGTCAAGAATTTTATTTACAAACATAGCAGTTTAGTAACTTGAACAAATCTTAAAGTAAATGAACCACATAATATTTAGATTCTTCAAAGTTTAAATATTTCAAAAATAAATCTCAATCAAAAAGTTTAATATAAAATAGATAAGACTATAAATGTTCATAGTTTCTTTTATAGAAAATAATTAAGTTTTATTTAATAATTTAGAGTAAACAATGGTTATCAAATTTTTATCATAATGCAAAATAACATTTTAGAAAATAAATTTAAATGAGGGGATATATAAAGTAGGTTTTTCATAAAACTTACAAATTAAATAAAAATAAAGAAAGAAAAAATACACGCAAAATCCTTGTCATGTTCATTTTGTCATGATAACACTGGTATTCTCAATATCCAATCAAGTATTTTTAACATAAAAAAAAAATTCATAAATAAAAAATGTGATTCAATCCAAATTCAATTAATAACTATATCACTAAAAAGGCAATTTAATACATATGTTTAACATATTATCGATAAAAAACTTTTTTATTTATGGCAATGTCATAACTTATAATTTCATAATGTAATAATTTTGAAATAAAGTACACTAGGGAACTGATTATCCGGAACGATCGGGACCATCGCTATTCCGGTTTTCTGGATCGCTACAAAAAGCCGTTTTTTTTATTGTTAAACCAAACTAAAAAAAATAATATTTGGAAATAATCTTAAAAAGAAGAAAAAACGATGAAGTAATACACTAATGATTATTTTCAAAATGATGGTAAGGTAAACATCTTTCAAAAAAGAAAAAAAAATCCTAAAATCTTATGAGGAAAAAAAAAAATTTTTTTTTTTTTAAAAATGGCGGGAAAATGTATCGAAATTTGTCCTGGTTTTTTGGCTTTCCGGATAACGGGTTCCGTACTGTTTTTAGAAATTTTGGAAGCATATATTTATATAAAACTCAAATCAATATAAATTTGCATTATTTGCTCACAGCACATGTTTTAAATCTTTGCAAACAAAACACACACATAAATCTTCAATAGGCATTAAATACAAAATACATACCGGGAAAAATAACAGAAGTAAAACATTTTTCAGTTAATTCAATTTAAATGTAGTTTTGATTATGTTAACTAGAAAATAAACATGTAGCAAAAACATATTTTATTAATTCAAGTTATTATACAATTCAAAAATCAAATTTTTCGTAAGTTAATTTAAATTTTGCAGAATGATTTCTACTCATTTTGCAAAAATGTCCAAAACAGGCAATAGCTTTTCTTTTAAATGTTTAAGTAGATTAAAAAAAGAACAAAAAAAAAAAGTTTTTTTTTGTGACAAAAATACCATAAATTCTAAATAATAATGAACAAATAAAAATTTTGTACAATAAAAAAGAACACTAAAAATACCCTAATACCAGGTCACACACAAATAATTTACCTCACTACCTTTATTTTTATATACAATTTATAACCTTTTAAAATAAATAAATCTTTGATATTCAAATCACAGATAATTTAAATTATTTTATGAAGAAAATTATGCAAAGTTACATTAAAAAGAAATTATGTATGCTATTGTTACAAATGAAATTTTCTTAAATACATTACTTAGACCCAATTAAAAAAGAAATTTACTTTTCAAAACTTGTTCTCCTCTTAAATACTTGTTCACTTGTCTCAAAGCCGCAACGAAAAAGTAAAGGCATGCCACAAATTGAAAGAAAAATTATTAAAATATCAAGGATCATCAAAAAATCAACAAAAACTCTGTAGGCATCTCAAAACGGATTTTTAATAATAATGCTTTTTAACGAGCGTTTTTCATATAATAGTTCAAAACATTATAAGAACCACTCGCTTCTTATACTGAGGGTTTGGAAAGAACATTTTATAAGTAATGAATGAATTAACAATTTATATCTATCCTATTGAATTTAGATGGCCTAGGAAAATTTTAAATGACTTTTAAGTGAATATTTAAAAAAATTATTAGAATGAGAGGGATTTTGCAATTTTTTTTTTAAATATAGAAATAGAAGAAAATTTGGGTCCAAATAAATCGGTATTAATGTAATCTTAGGATTTATACATAAATTAGTATGGACCAGATATAGAAATCCTTTGAACTTTTTATAAACAAGTCGATTATTAACTCTCTCAGCATAAAATTTTTAATATTTTTGAATACAAAAAAAAAAAAAGAATTAAAACTATTTAGCTCTCAAGTTAAAAACTAATATTTTTTTTACATCACTTTCAATTATATTTAGATCTTTTTCCCTATACTGGTCAATTTTCACAAGTCAAAAATGCATATGACTTATTAATATGGCTGATAGGTTATACCTATTACTTCAAATCATTACTTATTAGCATATTTTTGAATCAGAATCTTTAATTATAAACAAATCAAATTTAAAAACAATTATAAACTAATTCAAACAATAAATTGCAAATTATTTTTTTAAATTTAGTACATAACAGGTGTTTCTATAATTATACTTTCTAGTTGTAAACATGAGTAATTATATATAAAGAAAAGTAATAATTTATATTTTTAAATCTTTGCTCAACATATCACAAAAAGACTCGGCTTAAAGCATTTCTATGTTTTATTGGCACACTGATTGGCCTCTTTGGCCGAGTCATACAGGAATTAATAATAATAAAAAAATTACTGCATGAAAAATGATAAGAGAAAAAACAATGATAAAAAGAGCTAAGCTTCTTCTTCAAAACTCAATTTAAATGACTGTACACAGTATAATGCCGAAAATCACAGATGATAAATTGAATTTTTTTTGCATTTTTTTTACACAATCACACAAAACATATACAACTTTTGGACAATATGATTTTTTAAGAACGTTGCATACAGATTGAAAAAAATCCGCTTTAGTGATTTGAATCAATCAAAAGTGAACCCTTTCTGTCAAAATGCCATACTTTGCAGCAGGTCACTCTAAATGATGAAAATTTGTAACACTACCAATTGTTTTTCTTTATTTGCTAAATTCAAATGAGAGCAAGGTTAAAAAGAATTACCCTTGGACATCAGATAAATAAGTTAAAAACATTCTTCTTTTTCATCAAATATGAGTAGCTTCACAAGCGTCCCAATCGTCATCTGAATCAGTCTCACTTTCTAACATTTCATTATCACTACTCGTTTCACCGTGACTACTTGCAGTATCACTTGTACATTGTCCATGCAAGGAGTCCTTAACGTCTGAACTAAGTGAATTGTTGGTAGGAGAATCGTTGACATAATTAAATTCTACTCTTACCTAAAAACATAGGGATATTAGAATATTTTTTAATTGATAAAAAAAAGACAGACATTTTTATTACAAGCTTTCATATCATAAGGCTCTTTTATATTTAATAAATTATTAATGAATTTTTCTTTATTAAAAATAATTGCAGAGTTAAATACAATGGGGTATCCAGGTTCAAGGGTTGTCTACCTAGAAGTAGTCACTCTGAATAATATTTAAAAATAACAATAAAATAAATGAATGGTATGAAACTAACAATAAAATGAGCAAATGTTTTCAGTTTTGTCAGTACTTCAAAACATTTTGGCATGCTTATCAGGTATATACTAGGCAGAAGAATTTATAGAGTTAATCTGCCGCACGATCTCCCCAAATCCTAATTTGGTGATCTCAATACAGTCAAACAGAGGTTCATTATTGTAACAATTCAGCTTAATTTGCATACATGTAGCAAAATTTGAAATATCCTTAAAAATTAAAAAAAAAAAATCATGAAATCTCTATATAGCTAAGTCTGAAATCAACAACAAGAATTTACTTTTTCTTATTGCAGTGTTTTCTCAATTTAGCTTTTTATATTTCATCCGAAACAAGTTTAGAGATGTTTTAAAAAGCAGTCTCATTAATTTCCCCCATTTGTTTAATTTAAAAATAAAAATTAAAGAAAAAACTTTGATGACAAATAATCTGCAAGTCTGCTGGAGGATTTCTGCCACTAGGCTGTATATATATATATATATAATGCTGTATGTTTGTTTATATACGATTTATTAAAATGTTATAAAATTTTTTAGTCAAGTCTACGGAACATTCTTTAAAGATTTTAAGGGTAATTTAAGATTTTGTTAAGCTAAAAACTCAGAAGACAACCAATCAATTTAAGCAATTTTTAATTATCAAAGTCATGTACTAAAAGTAATTGTATTTTCATCAGATATTTTTTTAAAGGCCAGCTTCGGCTGCCTTAATATAATACATGTTAAATTAGAGCATTATATATATTATCTTTGAACTCAGTTGGTTTCTCAATCCAAAATAACCACTGCTTTTCTGTTATTAATTTCTGTTTGATATTATTAACTGTAACAAGGTATTTGAACTGACTGACACCTTTGAATGTATAATCATTAGTCACAAGAGGTAATATACATTATCATTAGTTTGATTACTGACAGCCATAAAATTGTACTTCTCCTGATTTATATATAAGACATATGCTTTAACAGAAGTCTCAAGCTTCTAATACAGACTGTTTAGTGGGTCCTATTAAACGTATGTCATCCGCATAAGCCAATAGTTGAACAGACTTTTAGACAATTGCACCCCTATCTATATATATATTTCTCTTACACAACGACAAAAAAAGTCTCATTACAACTCCCTGAATGGCAACACTAGATAATCGACCAATGATTGCCGCAAAAAATGTCACATGCCAAATCTAGTGAGGTGGCTCAACATATAGCGGTTTTAAAAAGGGAAACCGAAATAACCAGAGAGAGAGAGAGAGCATTCTCAACAAATGTGATTTCTTCCGAAATTAACCCTATCAGCTGCGGTAATCTCATACTATTAAGCTAGGCAGAAAGGAGTAGTTCTTGTCGATAGATCTCTATTTTAGTATTTTGTCGAAAGCGTTTTTTTTCGCGAATTTATATATTACGAATTTATTTGACGATTTTTGATTTATATCATGAATTTATTTGTTTTATTATGGTTATTAGTTATTCATTGAAAAATGAGTCTCAGTCGTGCTGTTACGCTTTAAGATTTTATACTATAGCACATTTCTAATAGGTTTAACGAATTACATATCATTTATTTGAATTCAAATTTATTTTAATGACTTAGTATAAACTAAAAAGATGTAATTTTTCTTTAAAAAAAAATTAGTTATAAGGATTTGAATGATTGTTTTGAATTCTTAGAATTTTGTGCATTTGCAATGCAACTAAGTTAGCAGCGAGCGAAGCAAACCATATAAGATTGCGTAGCAATTTTCAGGAGTTGGCGAGCGTTAGCGAGCAGGGGGTGCAGCCCACTAGTTATTTATATTGTCATCTGTAATTGTTTTTTACAGTGCAATGTTAAATAGCATTTAAGAGATGGTGTCTCCTTATCTTAAACCTTTTTGAGTGTAAAAAGGGTTTGAAAATTCAGATATAAATTTTACTCTGCAGTTGACATCCTTAAGGATCATTTTTATAAGGTTAACCAGAATATATGGGGTTCCAAATTCATCCACAGCTTTTAATGAACTTATGTCTATGCAAAATAAAAAGTAAGCATAACAAATTTCATTATAAGTATCATTCTCAAGTTAAGAAAATAAGTGAAAAATTAGGGCAAGGACATAACATAAAATCACAAAAGGAAAATTTATTTTCCACAAGTACTTTTTCATGAATAAAATAAAGCAAAGAAAAAACCAACTGAAGATAGAGATAAGGAAGAAAATAATGCTAACTGAAAAAAAGTTTAGAAATTCATTTTACTTATAATTGATTTGAAGACTTAATTGTTATAATAAATGATACATAATTAAATTGATACATTATACCTTAAAATCTCTACTAAATAATTTATGAGTTTTGTCTTTGGTGGCTTTGTCCAACTCATTCTTAAACAGAGTGAGTACAGGTTTCCTATATTCTTCATGGTGCACACTAAAAAGAATCAATAAAAAAGGTAAGAGGCATTAGGGTATGGCTACAAGAAAAAATATTTTTCAAAGTAATATTGCATTCTAATGATTATAGTGGTTTTCCTTGAGCTTTGAACAACTAACATGCATGCAATTTACTATCCATAATTTTTTCAATAAATGAAAAAAGTTACTTCCTCAGTAAATAAATCTAACCTTTTATTTCGCTCAGAATGAGGTGAAGATGTGAAGGTATTTAAGTTAATATATGTAGACATGGGAGTAGCAGTACATCCATTTGAATGAGCTGAATTTTGGAAGCTATCATTTTCACTTTTAACAAAAAATGTGTTAAACCAGAATAAAAACATCTTATCAAAAAAAAAAAAAAAAAAGAGGTTTAAATAACAAATAATACATTTAAATCAAACAACAGACATTAAAATTATAAGCAAGTAAAAAGAAAAATTTCAAAACTAGTCAAAATCCGACTCAAATTAGCGATGGTTAAAATATTACGAAAGCATAATTTTTTAAATAATTGAGTGAGCAAAAAGAAAACTCATGCCCTTTATTACATAAGATTTCTTTCATATAAAAATTCTAATTAATATGTTCTGAATGAACAGATTTTCATTATTATTACTGATGCACACTAATAAATAATTAATTTGGAAAGTATTAACATATAAAGTCCAATACAATAAAGATACAATTTTAGCAATGATTATAAGGATAAATAATAGAACAACAATTATAAGAATAAACAATAAAACGTCTAACTTCTTAACATAGACATGCAGTGGCCAGCGGCAGCACCTGAACACAATGAAAATAATTTTTAAAATTTTTCTTTTTTAAAAAGAAAAAAAGTCAGAAGTTTTGAATCGCGGATTTGAATCACCACGACTTTTAACGCACTCAAATTGAATAGATTCTATCATGAATTTAAGTAGTTTTTCGATGATTAAAGCTATGGACTTCGACAGACCTAAAAATCTTAATACTTTTAATGCACTTTATGTCTATTTTACCAGTAATTTAAGTAAAATTTTGATCATGATTTTAACAGTTATTGTTGGATTTTCTCATAATTTTTAAAATCTCAATATTTTTAATGCAATATTATTACGATTCACAAGTTTTAAACCTCACATTTCAATAATTACACTTGACACCCTTTATTTTTGCAGATTTCATCGTTTCAACGTAAATCCGAGGAGTTTAACAATAATTTTTCCGCAGCTATTGTTAAGCAATTATTAAACGTGGCTTTGAAAAATCCTGATATTTTTTATATGTATTATTACGACGCTCACATTGAGATTTAGAATGTGAGTTTTATTTGTGCCGTTTACATGTTTATTATTAATTACAAATGATTCATTGTTACCTCGGCATTTATCTCTATGCCTTTCCATGTGGTTTTGAAAATCTGTGTTAAAAGAACATTTCTGCACATGGTTGTTTCCAATGGCACATTTTCACTTGCTATATTTGAGCTTTTTTCCGCGGCAATCTATTCCACAATAGTTTTTTTTGATTTATTTCATCATGTTTTTCTTTTTAAAAATTTCAATATTTTTAATAAAATATAATTACAACACGCAAGTGTTGTGAGTGTTTTTAAACGCAAGTGAAGTGTTTTTAAAAATTGGGAATCGCTGGGCTAGAGCATTTACTTGAGGACACTATTAACCAATTTGCAAAATACACTATTACAGCAATTAATTTAGAAAGGAAAATTGCAGTACAACATTTTTTGACAGTTAAACCATTAAAAATGGAATAAATCTGCTTTTGAACAAAATGGATGATAACTACAAAAATTAAGATTTTGAGATATCATTCATGTAACAATCTAAGTTTTAAATTTAATGAACAGGAAGGAAACAGAAAATAGACATACCGTTTTGGCAAATGTTTTATTGCGGAATTCTACTTTGATATCCCCACAAACAAGCACAGTTTCAGGGATCTCAAATCGCAAGTATTTTTGATTCCTTTTCACTTCAAGAACAGGTGATTCATATAATTTTGTTTTTAATTGGTATATGACAAAATATGGACCTAGAGAAAAAATTTTTTTGAATGAGTTATAAATTGAAAATTTAATAAAAGTTATTTATTAAAATTAAGAACAAGAAAACTAGAATAACAAAACATAGGTATAAGGATAATAACTTGAGATACAGTGAAACCTCTAAGAAAGACCACCTTCGTGTAGCGACCACCTCTATTTTTGACCACTTTTGGGAGGCATAGAATTTTTTCCATAGACTTTGTGTTGATGAAAACCTTTAGGAGAGACCATCAAAACGTCTCCCAGTGACCGGGCAAAGCTCTACACCAAATGTGGAAAAGATAAAATAAGGAAATAAAAAATTATCAAAACAAAAAATATTAATAAAATAAATACGTAGATTCAAATGTATTGAAAATATCGTGAGTGGCTCTAACTTATAGAGCTCTACAGACAACTTCATGTAGCAGTCAGAGTGCTTATAAAGACAATGATTTATTTTGAAAGTTAAATTTAAAAAANAAAAAAAAAAAAAAAAAAAAAAAAAAAAAAAAAAAAAAAAAAAAAAAAAGAGCTAAGCATTTCAAGCATAAAAATTTCTCACTTTTTTGATATATGATAGATCATATAAAATTAAATATAAACTTAACGAAAAAAAAAACATAATTGTTTATTTATATAAAACAGTTCTATCATTCATAATTGGTAAAATTTTTTTTTACTCATAATTAGAGTTATTTTTTTTCTTTCATTAAGTTTCATGAACTGATTTGGTTTTCATGATGCTAACACAAGTGGCATTTCTGCACTAAGAAAATGACACTGATAAAAATTGAAATTGTTTATGAAAAATCACGCATCTTCGATTACATTTTGAATTCAATGGAAGTAATCCCTCAGAAGGACCAACCTCCATTAACCCCTTCCTTCTTGCTCCTGTGAAAATGAGGGGGGGGGAGGTTTCGCCCCTATTTCTCGCTCTCGTGACATTACCGGGATGAAGTGTTCAGTAGTAACGCGCCAATAAGAATAAAACTAATTCATTTCTTTTGCCCGGAAAACATTTTATTTCTCATTTTACACACCAGATGGTAGTACAAGGATATTTTTAAGGTAATTGTAGATAGTTTAAGTTTATTTTAAACTAGATGTCAGCACTAATCAAATAGCACTAAAAAAAATAGGCACTTTTATGACCGTTTTCTTGAAAATCAACCGATCGTTAAGGGGTTAATGATAATCTTATTGTGGAACAGAGAGTGGTTGCTCCCAAGAGGTTTCACTGTATTAAAAAAGTTTACAACACACTACAAGTATCATTCTTTAAATAAAAAAAAAGAAATTTTTTTTACATATATAAATACAAGGTGAACTTTTTTTTCAAATGAGCAGCATACATAATTTCCAAACCTTATTTAAGTCTATTTTCCCTGCGGCGAATGCAATCTAAAAAGAAATTTGTTTAAAGGTTACATATTCATTAAGTAGTGTATTTCTATTTCCTTTCAAAGTTTGACGACATATATTATACTTTTCTTTATTGAATTTACCTCTTTAATCATAATCCTAGAACTAAATCATATTTCAAATTCATACAATTCCTATTTTTTTTTTTTTTTTTGAAAAATGCGCATAACATTAAAACACAAAATAATAAGCTAGTTCTTTTAACAAATATATTTTCAGTTATTTTGGCATATACAGTTTATATATCATGTAAAAATTTCTTAAAAAACATTCAATTACCAATAAGTTAAGTACAGATGAGAAATAAATGAAATGTCTGGAATTTTGGTGTGTTATTTGAATTCATAACACTTACTTTTGTGATAATTTATTAGAAAAAGTCTGGCATAATTTGAGTAGTCCTTACCTTAATTACATATTTAGTTTTGTTCCTGAGTAGCAATAGAAAATTCAAATTAATAGCAATACTTTGGAAAATTAGAGAATATAAAACAAAAAGAAAAAAAATTTTAATTGAAAAATTAGCTTAAGTTAAATGGTGATTTCAATGTAAACTAACTTTAATCTAAATTTCATTGACTACAGAAATTGAATCATCAATGTATGTTTAGAATAAGATAAAAAAAATAATTGTTCAAATTGCACTTGAAAGTACTTTTTAATTGAGAAAAGGTCAGATTTAAAGTTAAATAAAAGTGCGAACAGGTTAAATCCAGTGGTTCCAAAAACAAAAATTTTTTTTTTTGAGCATAGTGATTACAAACCAGTTTTGAAATGAAGTCACTGCTTGGAAGACAGAAAAGAATTCGTAAAAAATGGTTTAGAAAATTGATTTTTAAACATATGAAATTATTAAGAAATATCTCTTCATGTTTATATGAAACAATCTACTAGTCTAAACTATTTTTTCCTGATTTTTTCTTTCACTTTTTATGCTGTTCTTGACAACATATATTTAATTCAAGAAATGCTAGAAAATGATAAAATCTGCAATTTGAAGTAAAATTTAGTGGCTTACATAAGGTTTAGTTATTATACATAATTTTTATTCTTAAATGCTCAGTCTTGGTAACAGAATCGTGGCGACATTGTAGCAGAATGTTACAGAGTTCTTGCAGAAAGATTTTTCGTTTCTGCAGAATTTTTTTCAATACATGCTTTTCTCGTGCATCAAAGGAGAAAGAAATGCTTGCAATTTTTCTATTCTCATTCGAGAAATAAAAATTCAATAATGACTGGCTTTAGCAAAATTTCAAATGGATGATATAAATAAATATATATATTCCAAAATCGAGAAAGTTTAAAAGACAGTTTACTTTAGAAATCATGTTATTTCCTTTCATTTCTTAAAAGTACACCATCTTTTATATTTTAATAAAATTTGACTGTGAGTGGGGATTTTGTTACAAATTTAGCTTTACAGTTAAGGAATTAATTAATGCAATACATTTCCTCCTTTTTTTTATACATTTCGTTGAATAAAATCTAAGGAATATTTTCAATATATTACGCACATGAAAATCTTTTTTTTTTATTTTTAGTTTTCATTTTATCGAGAACAACTTACATAAATTCCATTGGAAATATATGTAGTGTTTTGATAATATTCTTTGGCAATTATTGCTACAAATTTCTACATATTTAAAAAAAAATCCCAGAGTATTTTATTACTCAGTTACTATTATTGATATTCTCGTGATTTTTAGCAACAACAAAGAAAAAAAAAATACAGAGATTATTACGACTTGTAAAATTCAAATCGCGGATTCAAGAAATCACTCTTTAACATACTCAATTTGTACCCATATCATCATTGATCCTCATGGTGTGTCAATTATTCTTTTGACAGTTATTGTTACAAATTTCCACACTAAAAAAAAATCCTCAATGTTTTTTAAAACAATTTTACAAGCAAAACTCAAACCACTTGTTTGATAATTAACTTTTTTAATGCAACTATTTCATCATCTTTTCAACTTTTCGGCGGTCATTATTCTATTCTGACTATCCGGATAGCGCTAACGATATCCACAGGGTTTTTTAAATTCCAGTTATTTCTTAGCTGATATTATTTCTACATATAAAATATGAATAACGCATTTAAGCAATCACTTTCTGATGCAAATCACAATTTACACAAATCGTAAATCCATAGTGCTTCCATTGTATTTTTGGCAGTTATTTGATATTGATTTTCACATGATTTTAAAAATCCGATATTTTTAATTCGATGTTTATTACAACAACCAAATTAATTTTATAATGAAACACATTTGAACAATCCCCCTTTTAAAGAGTCTGATTCGTGTGATTTCACAGTCAATCTTTTTTAAATAGTTACTGCAATGGATTTTACAATTTTTAATTAGTTTATTTAATGTGATGGTGATTTACAAAATGCAAAAAGGAAATAATTAAGAGTGTTTTTTCCCTTCAAAGAATATTGACCATAATATCAGAATAAAAAAGTATTACATATTCTACTAAAAAAATCATATACAATTTATTTTACCCAAACAGGTTTTCTTTGTGAAACACAACATTTTTGTCACTTTAAATTAGTAACATATATATTTGTTTTTATTAAAAATATCTAGCAGAAAGATATTAGTGCTAAAAAGGATAGCAGAAGAAAACCCGAAAAAATTCTGCCGCAGGGGCTCAGCTACAGGGACATTCTCATTGCATCTTCTGATTGACTAGCCTAAAATTTGAACCAATAAGATTTGAACCTTGCTTCCTTACTAATTTAACTTTAAATTAATTGCTAGAAATTACTCTAAACTTCTTTTGTATCACACTACTCATTAAACAACTATGTTTTAAAAGTAGTGCATTATACTATAAACTACAAAAAAAGCAATGTCTGTAGTAATTTCGTTATTAGTAGCATGTTAGTTCGACCACTGGTTAGAACACTAATTACAGAAGTACACTTACGTTTCATCCTTAAGTTGAAGTAAAATAAAATTTTATGTTTATATTTTTAGAGGCTAAACATTTTTATAACTCTCAAATTTTTTTTTGTAAAATAACTTGTTTACTTCAATAATTGACATCGTTAATTGAAAGAAAAAAAATCAACACCTTATGACTAAAATCCAGAGTTTAAAGAGGTAAAACAATATTAATGTTACACAAGAGTATTAAGAAATATTAATATTAGGAATTGTTACTTACTACATGTACCACCATTGAAGGTTGGTATTGGTTCAATCAGGATTGATTTCAAAATCATCATAACAGGCCTGTATTCAATGCTTTTCTTGACTAGTTCACCATAATATACTACGTACCTTCGCTGACTTGGTATTGTAACGCCCTATTCAGAATTAAAAAAAAGGTGTTGATTTTGAATGAACACTTCAACTGAATGAAGAATAACTAGTAACTAGAATTTATTAATAATTGATAGTGATAATACTGATATTGTTGAAGCAAGCATTGTTCTTTTACACATTTTAAAAATGAACAATTAATAATTATAAACTTTAAGACATAATTGTCAGCAGAATGAAGAAAATGACTTTTATAATTATTTAAATGAAAAAAATGAACTATAAATTACTTGTGTTTTATAGCTTTATCAAGTTTTTTTTAAAGGAACAGTAAATTAAATTAAAATAAAAGGGTTTTAATTTTTAGAAAGGAAAAATCTTAAAATTTCGAAAACAATTTCCGACAACAGAGATTTTAAAATATTATATTTATAGGATTATTTGGAAATTTGATAACCTTGAATCCACACTTTCAATAAAATATTACAAATTTAGAAGACAATCTATTTCTGAAGGATAAATTTATATCACAGACTGTGGCATTTAGAGCCCCATAACATATTACGCACTGGATGTAATGAAATAAAAAAAATTAGTGTACAAGCTCAGCAACGTACACAGTTTTAGTTTCCGAGAGAGAAAAAATTAGTAATAAAAATCATCAATAGCGGAAATTTGGCACTTCAAGCAAATAACAATTATTAGAACATCAGAATAGTGATCATAAAGCCACATGTTACTATTAATACAAAATTTACTTATTGTTTCATTTGACAAATATGCATTAATTTATTACACACATTATGCTTGAAGCAACACATTTTCTTAGATTGATATTGAAATCACATGCACTGCTATCAAGGTTTTCATCACAGAAAAGAAAAATTACGATTTTCTCTCCTTTTCCCAAATACGCCCTTGTGCAAATGAATTGAAACAAACTTTTTTTTTCGTGTTTTTTAAAGAAGATGTTTTGGGTACATCTTCTGTAGGATTGTTCGGCTACAATGGGGTTGGACCTTTGCAGCCTATTGACGGTATGATGCGTTCTGAGCAGTACATTACTATTCTGGGTAAAAAAGTTGTTCCAGAGTTGAAGAAACGATACCCTGATGGAACAGGGATTTTTCAACAGGATTTAGCTCCTTGCCATACGTCCAAAATTGTCANTTTTTTTTAGTTGGGTTTAACAATAAAAAAAACGGCTTTTTGTAGCGATTCAGAAAACCGGAAAAATCAGTTATCCGGAATAGCGATGGTCCCGATCGTTCCGGATAATCGGTTTCCTACTGTAATAAAAATCATCAATAGCAGAAATTTGGCACATCAAGCAAATGACTATTGTTAGAACATCAGAATAGTGATCATACTAAGCCACATGCTACTATTAATACAAAATTTACTTATTGTTTCATTTGGCAAATATGCATTAATTTATTACACACATTATGCTTGAAGCAACAATTGATATTGAAATCACACTGCTATGAGGGTTTCCATCACAGAAAAGAAAAATTAAGAACTTCCCTCCCTTTCCCAAATACAGATTGAGATTTTTTTTAAATTAAGTAAGATTTCTAAAAATTATGGGAGATTGTGAATATGCTTTAAAAAAATTATTTCCTTAACTATTATATAATTACAAGCATTTTTAATATCTTCTGTTTTTTAATGCATAAAACAGGGCTCGAAAAACCGCCCGTCCTCAGCGGTCAAAAATTTCCCGCGGACGGCCATTTTCTCGTTAATGTTCGTGATACACTTTCAATTTTTGTTATTTTACAAGAGTCTAGCGCCTCACTTCTAAAATGACCCACTAATCTAGAAATCCTGTACAGCAACATACTGCGCATGGTGGATTAATGTTTTTTCCGTCTGGGAGTACTGCAGCAGTTGAAAGGGACTTTTCAGCAATGAACTTACAAAAAAAACACATTACGTAAGCGTTAAACGCAATTATGAACATTAATCTAAATGGAAAACCCCTTTCAGATTTCTGTGCAGAAACCTCTGTAAATCATAGGCTTGATTGTGGAACTGGCAAACGTCATATTTGATTCATTTAAAAAATGCAGTACCCTCGGATAAATTGACATTCCAGATGACTTGACCTTTGTCATTTAACTTATTTCATAAAAGAAATAAATTATTTCATAAAAGAAATACTAGGTTTTACTATTAGTAACCTAGTATTTCTTTTATTACTGTATAATTTAATCCTAGTAGCTACTAATTCATTGCGTAATTTATATAAATGTTTGTAATAAATAAGAAAAAATAAAATTTTAATTTATTTAGAAGCGATGGGTTAGTTTCAAAGGAGGACGGGTGCATTGTTGGACAAGCCGTCCTTGGGGACGGGTAAAATTTCCGAGCGCTGGCATAGAATATGTTTGCCTCATGATCACAAGGAAATATTCTATGTTTTTTCTTTCATTAGGTTGTTGTTACTTATTTTTATCTAATTCTAAGTAAAAAAAATTTTAAGCATACTTCAAACTAATTAAGAAAGCAATATTTAAATAAAATGAAAGATTGCTGCATCAATTACACCCACTCAGCTCACCAAATGTTTCAAATTATTTTTTTTGGAACTGTGTAATCAGTAGAGAACTTTTTTTTATCACTATTCTTGTTTTTAAATCGTAATTTCTGCTTATTCCATTTTATCAAAACCTTCAGCGTGAAAAGAAAACTAGTTCTAAACTAATAATCCACTTAACATGCAAAATATACCTAAATCGCTAAAATACAAAATTGGAACAATAAAAAAAAGCAGGTCTTAATTGATAATTTAGTTAATATGCAATCGAATCACAGAGGAAAAAAAACATAGTTCTAAAAAAACAATTAAATAATTTAATTAAAAGTTCAAATCACAGAAATACAAAAAATAAAATCTAAATTTATAATTCAATGAAAATGCATCCACATTGCTAAAGACAAAAAAAGGAACGGGGAAAAAAAAAATTCTAAACAATTAATTCTTTTAAAATTGAAAATATATCCCAACTGCAGATGTTCAAGGATGGAGAGAGGGAAAAAAACAACGCTGAAATAAAACAATTCTTAACTATTGATTCAATTAAAAAGCAAAATGCATAAAAATCGCTGAAGTTAAATTTCAAAATTAATAAATTGCATAAAATATATAATATATATCAAAAATCGAAAAAAAATGACACAATGATGATCATTTGACCTTAAACTGCATTTAATAAAGTATCAACTGATATGAATGCCATTAACTAACCAAATCCTTTTTTGACTCAATAATTTGTGAACTCAGCAAAAGAAGGTTGAATAGAAACTACAGGCTATTTTATGGATTTCAAGATTATTTTTAATTTTTGTGATGGAGCAGGGTTTCCTCTCTCATAAATAAATATTGTTTTCGAGATGCAGTTGTATTAATGATTGTTTTAGGTAGGTAAAATTTTAGAAATATCTTTGCCATATTATCTTAGTTTATTTAATATGGAGAATGAAATTAAACGAGAATTTTTTATTTATAATTTTGAGTTATAAATTTTAAAAAATGGTAAATTAAACTTATTGAATAAATTGTAAACATATTCTGGAAATGCTACATATATTTGCAATTTTATATCTTCATTTTCAAAATATAACAAATTTAGTTATTAGGGTTGATTCCACTGGATTATTCAGCCGTTAGAGATTTTTCAGGTTCACCTATGCCGATTAGGCTTACCTACTGCTTCTAAAAAGGATTCTTATTGCACTTTCAGCAAAGTTTACAGAACATATAAATAACACCATAACTTTCTTCATTTTCACTTATTTCTCTTAATACTTAACAATCTTTATTTTTCATTTGGCTGAATTATTTGTTTCATTTTGATCTATTTGTTGAGATCTGGATGATGTTTTCATAGGTATTTCTCCATCTTCATAAATTTAAATGTATTAGGATCTAGATCTGTGTTCTGAAAAGGGTTCCTTGGTTTAAGGGGGGTGTTCTGTTCAAACCGGTTCTGAAAAAGACTGGTGATGAGGGAAACGAGATAAGCGGAATGAAGGTTTAAAAAATTTATTTTTTTTTAAATAGCCGAATTAGAAATTTTTTCCAACAGCATGAGGCATTAATGCATTTTGAAATTGGTTTAGAGAGGGAGCAAAATTCTCACGTCAAAAATTTTATAATGCGAGAAAAAAAAAAAAAAAAAGAACAGGCGAGTTTCTCGGGTTGTAGTGAAAACACTGGCTATGCATGAACGCTTTCTCTTACTCTTTTTTTTAAATATTACATAAAGCACATCACATGCTAAAGGGCTTCAAACATCTCACATTACTTTATGCATGTCTTAAAACTAATGGTGGCTTGGTCAAGGACTATTTAAATTTGACCCCCATAAAATTTATCAGCGTCCTTCTCAACCAATAATCGAAGTAAAAGTATGGTAAGCTGTTTTAATATCTTGACTTTCAGTTCTTGTCCCAGACCAAAACAAGAATATATTTATCATTATTGTGAACATTACACATTCTATTGTAATTTCGCATTTAAATTCACTTTATTTAAAAGAAAAATCTAATCGATAAATACAAACAGAGAAATGAAAATATATACATACGATGTACACATTTGTACTAGTAATATATTTTAGTTTCTGATTCTGGGAACTAGCTGTACCCTTGTTACATGCACCCTCCACAGAACATCAACACAATCCAAATATTTCAATTTTATGTTTAGTATACATACAGATAAAAAGTACCAAATCAGTCTTACTAATTGCAATGTTGAAAAAACTCAAAATGTAAAATCACCTACTATTAAATTTTATAAATAATTCTGCAGTATATTGAGTTGAAAATCATAGCTTATACAAACCACATTCGTTTAAGATTGGAAAAGTTTTTGAGTTAAGTCAGCACCATTCATCGATATAAGTTTAGATTCACCTCTGCATTAAATTAAAAAATAATCCCATGAATAAATTGGAAAAATTACCTTTTGATTATGAGTTCTAGCATTTCCATAAAACTTTAGTGCTTCCTCAGCAGTAGTCAACATTCCCTTATGAAGCAAGTAAGCACAAATCATAACACCAGTTCTACCCTATTTAAAGAAATAAAAATTAGCACTTTTAAGACTTCTTTGAAGCCTATTTTATCAATTTATAAATTCAAACTGATGTTAAGAGTTTATTTTTATGATTTGCAATTATCAGCAATGAAATTAATTTGAATAATTTATATATTTTGCTAAAATTATATTATCTTAAAATGGTTACTTTTATTCAATGTTTTAAGCTTGTGACACACTAGTTATAGACATTTATTAAAATTATATTTTATGAAACGCTTTTGGTTGATCAAATAAGTGACACGTGTTATTACATTCAAGAAATTCTGGAAGAATATTTTTTAAATAGAAAAATACCATTGAAAAGCAACATTCTTTATATTGGACCTTAACTCTGCAAACTAAAAGCACGTTAAGCCTCAGTTTATATTTTCATTAAAATTAATAATTATACAAGTAAATAACGTTATAAAGTTTTAAAATATATATTAATGTTATGTTTTCTTTCTCTGCTTATGTGGGTTACGTTAGTTAAATTTGTTTTAAAAAAAAAATTAAAAAAACTTGAGATAAAAAGTTTATTTAAGGTTACAAAATTAAATAGCACTAGAAACTAAATTTGAAGGAGGGAAAAAGTCATTCTATATTCATGTAACCAACATTTATTTGAATAACAAAAATCCTTTCTTGGCTCAAAAGCTTAGAAACACTACTTTAAATGAAAAAAAGAAGGCAAGTAGTAAGATTAAGAAAGCAAAGTAAATCAGGTAAGGTTTAAAGTAAAGATAAATAGATTTTATTATATTTAAAACTTTGGACTACAAAATTCAGCTTATGGTTATCTTGGTTGCTTTCCAAGCAGAAAACAAACTTGTTTTCATTCCAGATCCTTTAAAGGAGAATTTGTGTAAAACAGAGAAATTTCTTTGACACATTTTACCATGTAGTGTGTCTGTTTCAAGAAGCCTCTTCGAGTGCAACAACACTCAATATCCAAAAATATATAGAATTTCAACAGAAACCCAAGTCTGTAATTACCATTTTCAAAAAGGTAATTTAGTTACATACATTTGTTCACTTTTAGATTTTTGAAAAATTTCATTGTTTTGTGTAATTTATGATAAAAAATCTATTCAGCCTCATTCTAATTGTTTTTTGCCAGAAATAAATGCTTATTAATAAATTATCTATGTAAAACCATTACCTGCATAATTTTCTAAAAACAGTTGTAGAAACTTTGAAAGCTGTCAAGCACTATTTTTCTTAATATAATATAATTTATATTTCTTATTAAAGGTATGTTGTATTATTCTATCATTAAAAGTTTGTTATAAAAAAATAAAGATTAAAAGAAAAAGATTAATTTAAAATCTGAGAGAGCAAAGGAAGAAGGCTCTTTAGAAGTAAACTATAATGCAAAGATTATTATTATTATTTTTTTTTTTTTTTAAATCACCTGTAACTAAGGTTAGATTTTGGACATTACAAACTGGTTTAATACACAACACATCAAAAAACTGGCAAAAAGTATCAAAAACTATTAAAATCTGTCAAAAAGCTACCTAACTGCATGTTATTTTAATACATCTACAGTCTAGTCCAGTGTTTCCCTAAGTGTGGTACGCGTACCCCCAGGGGCATGGGAACAGTTTAGCGGGGATACGCTTTCTTATACGAATTATCTTGCAGCAAACGAAAATTTTAAAAAATTTATTTAAAAACAAAGCTAGCTATGAAAATTTACAATTACATATTTTTCTATTGGCTATTCTTTGCAGTTAACAGTTAATAATTAGTGGTGTTAACAGCCAGTTGTGGTATTAACTTTCGTGCAATTTTTTTATAGTAAAAAATAGATCCATTTTTTTATTAGTGGTACACAGTGTTACGAAAAATTTAGATAGGGCACTCAAAAGTCATAAGTTTGGGAAACACTGGTCTAGTCTGTAACTCAGCATCACCACAAAGAATAACATCGAATTTCAGTCTTATTCACACAAAAGGCTTCATTTTTTAAAATTTATTTTGTAATCGCATGCCTCAGGGAAAGGAGTTAAAATGGGAGTGATTGAAAATATATTTTACATATAATGAATATGTGATTATTGAGTGCTTTTTTTTTTTTTTTTTTAAAGATGATTGTTTTTGTATTTTTACTTCCAATTATTAAACAAATTAATGGATTGGATAAATTGAAATTTCACACAGTTTTAATTATAATTATTTAATACTTATTACTCTTGGGTAATTAATTTGAGTTTTTGATTTTGACAGTAATTGTCAAAACAAAAAGAGTTTATGTCAAAATAATTCAAGATCATAAATGATTGATCACTATTAGTTTCAGAGGTAAGTTTATTTATAAATTCTTCATATTCATAGTACTTCATAGCTATTAATTATACTTACACCAAAACTTTTGGTCTACGTCAAAAAGAGTTTTGTGACTTGATGGCTAGAATTATGGTTAAAACTGGATAAAATTTTTAAAAACTTGCCAACTCTGCTTACAACAAAATAGTTCACCCAAATAGTGAACTTATATTGAAGAAATACATAATTTGTAAGGAATTAAATTCATAGAATTAACTGGTTAATGTGATATTTTAGCATTATGAAAAATATAAAATACCTTTCCCGCTTTGCAGTGGATAACAGCAACATTGTTTTTGTCCTTTGAAAGCCAGCTATCTACATCATTGCAGAAAGGTTTGATTAACTCTAATGTAGGAGGGTTGTGATCATCGAAAGGATACTGTGCAACTCTCTCATGAAATTTGCTGGTATCGTAATTCCTCTCAGTGCATCTGAGATTAAACAAATTAAAGGATCAAGAGTTAAATTAGCAGACCAAATTCTAGTAACAAATGTAAAATAAGTTTGACATAAGAAATTATTACTTACAGATTGTATATCTTATAATGCTGATCGTGTTTAGAATCTAAAAACCTATAAAGCAATGAAATATTAAAAAATCCTGTTAAGATTGCAAAAATGTTGGGATTTTACAAAAAAATTAATCAATTCATTATAAATATAAATATTTTTTTTTTATTATCTGAAACAAATTAAATATGATTGTGATATATTGATAATTTTTTTAAGCATATTAAGTCTTGCTACCCAATTTAAAAAAGCGGTTTCTCCAGTTACAAAGAAGTATTGGATGACAGAGTAGTTCTTCAGTTTGCCATTCTGATCTGACAGATGCTCATTATTCATGTCAACCTATTCATACATTAATCTCAAATTCTAAACTAGTGAGAAAATGCAGAGTACAAAATAGACGAAAGGCATTTGTGAAGATTGAAATTTTTGCTTAACTGAAGTATTAGAATCATATGCAATATTTGTAGTTCCAATTATACAGGTACTATTCTCTAAATACTTAAAAGCTTTTTTGGGTTCAGTTTTGCATTATTTGAGGAATTAGTCTGTTTTGTGTTTTATCCTTTTAATCTGAATAAAAAGCCAAACAATTAGCTACTAACTCGCCATTATTTTGTATAAAAAACCGGCCTCAAATTTTGCTTTAATAGTTATTCAGCTATTCTATGGCTTTTTCATTTTCTTACTGAACTGTTGTTTTTTACTGATTGAAATGGTTCAACAGCATCCACAGGTCATCAGTAGCCCACAGGACATATGTTGAAGACCTCTACCTTATAAGCTTATCCTGAACAAGGTTACTCAACTAAAAAAACAAGTAATTTTACTTGCATTTTTTCTTTATATAAATCAGTAAAGAAACAACTCTCAACCATTAATTTTCAATGCAATTTTTCGAAAATAAAATTGATAATGAAATGTTCTGGTCAAAATTGTTTTCAAGACTAATAAAATGAGTTCAAATTTTAGTCAAGATAATTAAGTTTAAAGAATCATAATTATTCACAAAGTTAACAATTGATGAGACAATTACTTCTACTTAAAATCTTACATTATTGTTAAACTTCAAATAAAAAGTGTAATAATTTTTACACTTCAACCCTGGTCCTTAAGACACAAGAGTTTTATATTTCTTGGTCTTTTCTTACTTAAAGCGGATTTAAAATATTAATTCTTTACCTCTTTATTCACTTGTTAATATTTACATTCATAATTATTTTACTTATTAGATAAAGCGAAGACTTATGAAACAGTAGTTAAATACAGCAATATAATAGTTATAATATAGCAAATGATCTTGAAGTACTAATAGTACCATTATTTTAGAAAAATGAGGCTTGTTAAATTGCAGATAAAATAAAGGCACTGTTATTATCTTTCGATCAGATGTTAAATGAAAGGGAAATTACGTAAAGTACAATATTCAATTTACAAAAAGCATAATTTGTAACAAAAAGAAAGGAAGCAGCTACAGACCTCTTAACGTCATCAATATGATTTCTGTACAGACCTTCCACTTTTTCAGCCGGATACCCCATAGCAATGATATTATTGCAAATATCTAAGCAAGCTAAGTAAACTATAATAATTTAAATTTTCAAGTGGGAAATTATTGAATAGAAATTTTAACACCAGTTGACAGTATGAGTAGTAAAAATTGCTAATTTTTAAATAAAAGAACATACAACACAATATACACTCAACTTCACTACTATGTACATTATAAATTGCTTTGAATACAAATAAAAAATTAAGATGTTAGTCAAAATATATTTTTAATCTACTCAATTTTTGCCACCTCTCACCTGAAAATTTTCTTTAATCTGTTCATGGCGTTGTCAAATTTTGCGTAATTTAAGATAGGTAGGTACTTTATTTACGTTGCACTAGAGCTGCAGAATGGGCTATTGGCGACAGTCTGGAAAACATCTCTGAGGATGATCCGAAGACACGCCATCATAATTTTGATCCTCTGCAAATGAGATGGTAAAATCCCCTACTTTGATAGCCCAACGAACTGCAAGCGAAATAGAGCACTTTACGGTAGAACAGTTTAAAAAGGATCGATACTGTGCACCCTCAGTCCATACGCAGGCTGATCAAAATGGTCACCCACCTGCCTACTGACCACAGCCAGTGATGCGTGACAGTCTGGAAAACATCCCTGAGGATGATCTGAAGACACACCATCATAATTTTGATCCTCTGCAGATGAGATGGTAAAATCCCTTACTTTGGTAGCCCAACGACCTGCAAACGAAATAGACAACTTTACGGTAGAACAGTTTAAAGAGGATCGATACGGTACACCCTCGGTCCATACGCAGGCTGATCAAAGTGGTCACCCACCCGCTTACTGACCACAGCCAGTGATGCTTGACTTCGGTGTATTACTGGGAAATTCGTCTTTAACAGGAGGGAATTAAGGGGGTTATTGGGGTTGCAGCCCCTGGCTTTGGATTTCCAAAATGCCTGAGGCTAAGATAAAATGCAATGGCAAAAATGGTTTGTACGTGCATATAGGAAAATAAATGATTTTTAAAAAAATTAGCAATTTGTAATCCTAATTAAATAAAATTTAAAATTTCATAGTTAAAAAAATTTTTTATTTTCGTTGAACATTTTGTGCAAAAAAAAAAAAAAAGGATAAAGATGGAGAAAATAAAAACATTTACATATCAGTATTCAATCAATTCATATCCTAGAAGGAGAAAATGGTGATTGGTACTTTGTTTGCAAATATATGATGAATATTCAATCGCATAAGTAAATTAGTAGTTGATTGCAGTGTAAATGAGAGTATAAAAAACAGGATTCTAGAAATGAGACAAAAGAAATACGAGTTTTAAGTAGTGATAATGTTTTCAGCGCAATTTATCAAATTTCTTGCTTTCTACAAAGTTAATCTTCAGATTTTTTTAATACTTAAGAAAGTGTAGTGAAAAAATATGATGGGAGAAGAGAGACAAAGAATATTAATTACTCAAAAGTTGAAAAAAGTTTTAAACTGAAACTCTTTGTACAGTTATTGATAAACATTGCAGTAGTCTTAAGAGTGCTTTTCTATCCTTCAATTTTTAGATATGCCTTCTTTTAGTTTTTATTTGAGACCACATCTAAGCAAAATTATGTTACATCTTATAAATGATACATCATTCAAAATTCAAAGAATGTTTAAAATCGAAAATATCAATATAATTATTGATTTACTTTGCAGTACACTTTTATGTAATTCTTCCCAATTTTATTTAACCCCCTGTTTAGCATGCTCGAGTTAATTCGAGCATGCTAAACAGGCCAAACTGTGCACACTCGAGATAATTCGAGCGGCGTTGTATTTTATGCTGTTATAATTTTTTACACTCTAATATAATTGAAAATTCAAAATAACAATTTGAAAGCTAAGGAAAAAAACTTTTTTTTATTGATATTTATCCTATGTATAAGATTGTAAACTATAACACTTATTTATTCAAGAATAAAATATAGCCTTTTTCAATGGAACAAAAGCGCAGTATATCAAAATCGTCTACCAAAAGATAAGACAGTGTTCCAAAGTGCGTTTTTTTTACATTAAAAAAAAATGATTTTTTTGGGTGGTTTTCTTCCAAAAAATCTGTGCATTAAGGGGTTAATTAATTTTTTGGATGCACTTTTCTTCAGTTTTCATTTGAGTTCAAAGATACAAAAAATTTGAATGAAACAAAAAGTTTTCTTTTTATAAAAAGTTTTTCTCAATAAAACTTAACGTGTTGTTATTTTAATAACATGTATTATTTTATAAATTTGAAAGGCATATGGGAAATGCAAAATAATATGTATCAGGTAAACATTAAAATTTGTCACTGTTAAGGAGCATATTTTCTAGAATTACTCATTATCTAATTAAGAAAAAAAAGTCTATATTTCCCTATTCTATCTCATAGTTATTTTGGCAGAAAAATATTTATTATTAAAATAATAATTTAACATTATTATATTTATTATTAAAATGCTTTAAGTGACTTAAATTTTAGATATACAAAGAAAGCCAACAATAAGGTAAAACAAGCTAAGTCAATAACCAGTTTTATATCTTCAGAAAAACTAGTTTATTTAAAGAAATATATGCTGACATGTATAATAATAAATACAACGTTTTATAAAAATCAAAATACTTTTAAAAAACTAGTAATTTTAGAAAAAAATTCGTCAAAATTTGGTGGAGACGAAAGAGTAGAAACTAGTTATAAAAGCCAATAAATTGGTTGCAGAAAGTTGTTAGCGGTTTTGCATTCATTCAGGTCTATTTTTGTCAATAGAAAGTTTTTCATTTTATTAAGTCTTGTAAGTATATTATAACAATTATTTTGATTATTCATATTCTTCAGTCATAGAAAATTTCAATATTACGATGTATTTTTTAAACTCTTTTGAAATTGTAGTATTCTTGTTTTAATAACAGGTGCTTTATTTCATAAATAAATAAAAAAATTCTTTCTATTTCTTGCTTTAAACTCTTCGTTTTTGTTGAAATGTCATGCCTAATTTAACTGATTATAATTTTAATTAGTTGAAATTTTTAAACTATGTGAAAATGTAATGTTTTAACTAATTTTAGAAAATATATAATTTTTTTTTTAAAGAAGTAGGTGTGATGCCCCCTAATCCAGTCCTGAAGATAAGAAATTACTAAATATATACAATCTTGTTTTAGCGACCATTTCTTGAAACAATATATTAGTTATTTAAAACTGATTAAAACTTAGATACCACAAAACATTGTTTTTTCAGCACCTTCACTAATGAAAGACAACATTTCGGTAGAATATTTTCAATATTTTAGCAACTCTATAAGAACAAAAAAAAAATTTCCAGTTACCATTTAGAAAAATTTGTTCGTGGCAGGTTGTCATTCTTTCATGATTTAATAGCAACATGTTTAAGTTTGCTGCTGCGAAATGGTGCCATTGAGTCAAAAATAGATATGAATAGTAGAAATTTGCAATTTGGCTCAATATTAGTTGCCTCATACAAATAAAAAAAATATTCTGACAGTGAACATGGAAAAATTATTTAAAGTAGCTAAAAATAAATAAGTTATAGTTACTAAAAATTATTTTAAAAAAATCTTATGTATCATACGCAATTAGGAATCTGAATAATTGATTACCTAATACCTATAATTAAATCCACCAATACCTCTATATCACAACAAAATGAGAAATCACCAAGCACCTTATGACATTGAGGGAGTATTTCCATATTGTGATTTGTCAAACCAATCGCAATTGTCAAATAGATTTTAAACTTGCTATTAAAAATAAAAAAAACATGTAGAGGTTTGCATGGAGATGGTTACCCTTTGAGTTGGCCCCTTTCTGTGCCTTTTTTTTCCAGTTTTTCACAGGTCATTACCTGGAAAATGCCAAGATTTGACAATTATTCTGCTACTGTATTTAGAGGTGCTTCTTTTAATCTAAAAGCAATGTATATAAGAGAGGCATGTAATTTATTTTTATTTCTAGGTATAAAATAAACTGTAGAACAAAGTTGGCATTTAAAAATGCTTAATGTTTAAAAGAAAGTTTTAAGCAAAGGCAACACATTAAAAAAAAAAGAATGTAATCCTATAATTTTAATACAAAGGATACAGGTAAGATCAAGATCAAACCCGTCTTCTTTATATCTTCTCTTTTTCTTACTAACAAGACCTTTTATTTTCGAAGCCATCATGTCTCACTGTTAAAAATAAATCATTAGAAAAAAATGGAAAAGTAATATTTACTTTATTAACGAAGTTGCAATTTGACAAACCTTGTTAAAATCAACGAAGGTCACACTTTCTAAAGAAGCTTGTTCACTTGAATATATGTTAATACTTCTTCCAATAAGCTGAGTATTGAACAGTTTAGTAATAACAAACAATAAATTGACCATCGTAGAATCAATAAAGCTTCAACTTGAAAATGGTATTTTACGATATTTTAATAAGCATGAACACTTCAATTATTCACATAATTAAAGCTATCACTAATCTCTTTTGAATTTCATATACTTAGTCAATTAAGTGATATAATAGGTCGATGGTCAATATAAAATGAGCACATTAGCTAATTTAGTTCGCATTTGAGTGCAACTAATACGGATTTTTTGTTTGTAGTTCCAAATCAGTCTAAATTATTAGGTTTACACAGTATCGAAAATTGAAGAAAAAAAAGTTGAAAATGCAAAAGTTTAATTTGGTTGCTTTTCAAATGGTCTTTTACACGCATACGAAAGAGAACATGTATGTTGTGTTAGTATATTTTTGAGTTAAATCAGAAACTAAGATGTTGCCGAAAACTGGCATTACGTAGTTTCAGTAAATATAATAGACATGTTCAAAATTTACAATTTGCTTGCAGTAACTTCTACTTTATAAACAAATCATATCACAATCACATCGAAAAACTCTATACCACATATATAAAGGGTTGCTCATGCAAATTAACAGAAAGTGCAGAGAGAGTACATAATACAGATGCACGAGGATTCAAGAACTAAATGCTGATTGGTTCATTATTCATTCCGTACGAGCAAAGTACAGAAGCTCTTAACAAATCTTAACGAAATATCGATTATAATAAAATTCTGTTCAAATCATTTTTGTAATTCTCTTGACAAATTTTCTTCGTGGAGAATATTTTCATTAATCTTAAAAAGCTGATAAAATTGTGTAAAGTGCTTATTTAAGAAAAACATTTATTAAAAATTAGTATCAAATAAAAGAAAGCAAGTTACTTAAACATTAGCTCGTTCGAAAAATAACAATTCCATATATCAGGGAGGAAAAGGTTCAAAAAGTTGAATACATGTAAATAATTCACCGATTTATATAAGAGTATTTCTATTGCCGAACGAATTCAGTTTCATAAAGCTTAGATACTATATGATGCATTTTTTAAGTTGAATTCGGCTTTAATAAAAGAAAAACAAACAATGATCAAGAACTGTCAAATTTTTTTGCATTATAATGGTTTTTATTTTACCATTGATGAAATTCTGATATTTATGTTTCAAAACTATACAATTTCATATTTTTCTCCAATATAAAATACATCTTAAATTTGTGAGAAATTTTCTCCCTTCAGAAATTTATTTGCAAAGGCATGTCTTTACAGGTGTTAGAAAATTTTTTGATTGACTTTCTATTCTCGGTTATAATTCTTTACATTCTAATGCTTGTATATTTATATTAAATGAAGAAGACAATTTTATGAAAATAATTTTATATTTTAACGCTTTATTTAGTGCTGAAATGAATTTGAGAAGCATTTGCATCTGCAAATGAATTTAATTCCTTATTTAATATTGCAGTTGTTTTAAGAAAATCCTCCTTCTACTGTGAACACTCAGAATTAATTTCGATAAAATCTTATCGCATGTGAGAAAAAACTGAGTATATAAAAATTAACTCTCTGGATGACTTTCAAAAAAAATTTTTTTATTGGCAACTTTATATTGTACCCATTAAATTCTTAATTTAATGAATTTCATTTAATCTTTTTTTATATTTTGATTTTTTATATTTTAGTATCGTGTAGAATTACCTTATTGCATGATGTGATTTTTACCAGGATTTGATATATCCAGTCAAATTAGGATTGCTAAAACAATCACCAAAATCTTTTAATTTTTTAAATCAAGTACCCTTTCCTTACAATAATCGTGAAAAGTTTTATTGTTAAATGCTTGAAATGCAGTTTAAGCATGTTATTTCTAACATATTAAAAGTAAAATTAATTATGATTGTGGTCTTTTCAACATCCTGTCTGCATGAGACAATGTCAGTCGTACTGAACTAGGTAATCAAGGCAGGCATAAGAAGGTGAAAAGCACATCACTTTTCATTTTTATCATATTTGTGAAGAGAGAGAGAGAACAGCAAAATAGCACTGAAAATGATGCGCATAGTTTTTTACTAAAGGGATTTTAAAAGGGGAAGATGACAAGTAACTCCGATCACGTGTCTAAAAAGTGAAAATATATAAGTTATGATAGGTTATAAAAACTTTCTGAGTGGTTTCTCATGAGATTTCATGTTTCCTTAAGGGAAAAACTTATGATAATTACTACATTCTTTAATCTAAAATTGGAACTGAAATGTTGGATGTGAATTACTAACTGTAAGAACGGGTTTTGTTTTAAATAGTGAATTTAAAAAGAGAATTTAGGCAAAGAAATAATATTAAAAAATTTGTTAAAGTTTTATGTATATACAGAGTTCTCCCTAGGAACAAAAAACAGCAGGGCGTTTCCGCTCTTACAAGGGCACTTTGAGTTTTGAAAGGAATAAACATTGTAAAAATTTATCAAAATGCGTAATATTATGTAATAACTAAATTTTATCCTCAACAATTTTTGAATTACCCTAATATACTATTAGGGTATATGTGTATATTTCAAGAACGAAATTCTCTTTCATGATCAAAATAAGAGAAATATTTGTAGTTTATAAAAATAATTAAAGGCTTGTTAAAAAAACAATCATTGTGCTTAAAGTTTCTTCAAAAAATAAATTAAAACAAAAAGGTTAATTGATAAAAAAACTTAATCTTCATTCTATAATTTAAAATGAAAATAATGAGAAAATGAACATTAAAACATTAGGATATTAATTATAAAATAATTTTAAAATTTAAAATCACTTAAAAATTTATTAATATCTCCCCCCCCCTGAAAAAAGAGATATTTATAAAAATTTAACCACTTGAGAATAATCTTAACAAAGTAAATCTTTGTAATAGTAATAAGAATTAAACCTATAAACACTGTTAATTTTACCTGGGTGTAATTATTATTTAAACAGTGAATTAATTTTTTTGAAAATGGAATATGAATAAAAAGGCAGCTTTTAAAAGGGATGGCGCCTTATTTTAACTAAAAGCGCAAAATCGGCACATTTATTGGGATCAAAGGGCAAGCAGGGTGAGACGCCCTTCTCAAAACACTTAGGGAGAACACTCCTACATATAAATAGTCTTCTTAAATATCTGCTAAAATTAATGTGTTAAGTGGTTTAAAATTTAAGTTTTGAATCTCTAATAATATTGAGTTTCATTTTTCCATGTTGTAATTATGTTATTTTTTCCTTCTAGGAATCTGTTAAAAAATTATATGAATTTAGAGATTTCTTCTTTGAAGATCATTCTTCTGAGTTAGCAGACAAAAAAACAGAGCTTTTAGCATCGGAATTGAATAAAACACTAAAATTATTTGTCAAGGAAAAAGGTATGTTTCATAAAATATTTTTCCCCTCACAAAAAAATATTTGCATTTTATTATTTTTTATTGTTTTGGAAGTTTGTTTTTGTTTCTACTCTTTATTTTTTAAAAGATGAAAATTAAGAATATTACTAACTTATAACAATATTTTTTAAAATTATATCAATGAATTAGGTTTTTTTTTTAACTTTAATGAGCTGCCAATTTATGCCAGTGACTGAACTGACATCATTCTAAGATCTAAATCAATTTATGCTATTGAGAAATATTTAATATATTGGTTTATTTCAATTGAGGTTTATAGAATATAGCCGGTTTATTAAAACTTATGGTCCCGCAGTGGACTGATCATTAAGACACGGTTCCCAGCAGATCATCGAAGTCAAGCATCACTGGCTGCGGTCAGCGTGCGGGTGGGTGACCACTTGGATCAGTGTGCGTAGGGACCGAGAGTGTGCGGCATTGGTCCTCGTTAAACTGTTCTACCGTAAAGTGCTGGACTTCGCCTGCAGGTCGCCGGGCTACCAAAGCGGAGGTGCCATCCCCTCTGCAGAGGATCAAAATTGTGATGGCTTTCCCAGACCGTCGCCAATAGCCCATTGTGTAGCTCTAGTGCGACCTAAATGAACAACAACAACAACAATTAAAACTTATGCTCTTATATTTATTTAAACGCTCTGTGTGCACATTGTTGATAATCCATAAATTAAATTAAATTTTCATTAATGGATGAATAATAAATATAATAAATAATGAAAAATAAATAAATAATCACCAATAAAAAATAAATAAACTCTTAAAACATATGTATTATATAGATTTATTATAAAATAATATGTGTGAAAATTGTTTATTTAAATAAAATCATTGACTTTTTCAAAGAATTAACATTTCAAAGTCTTTAATTCTTACAAATTTATCATCTGTATTTGTCTGTGGATTTAGTACCATTTATGCTTAAGCTCACCAATGTCCAGGCTTTTAGTGTTGATTTCAAATTGATTTTGTTTTTTTTTTTTGTTATTAATATTATTCATTGTCATCATTAAAAGGGGATACAGTATTTCTCTTTCCCCCAAAACTGCTAGTTTAGTATTCTTGAATAAACGATAAGGTCTTCTGTGTGTACTTTTGTGAATAATAAAAAATTTTATTAATTGAATTTCATTTATAATTTATGTTGTTTTATGATTTCATCGTCCATTTCATTGTGCACATGTTGCTAAGAATATTTAAGTTTTCATTGTTGGTTCTTGTTTTGTAAAAATGAAATTAATATTATAAATTTAATAATAGACACAGTAAACCTGACAAAGCCTTCAGCTCAAGTCTGATACTTATCTGCAGAGGATTAAATCCATTGATAAGAACATTTCAAATTTCTGGCAAAAGTAAAATTTTTTGTGACTATTTCAACACTTATCGATTATAAATAAGTATGGTAACTGGTTTAACAAACTGGTGTATATAATTATGTGCAATTTAAATACATTGTGTTTACTTTTAAATAGGTAGTGGTAGTTTTGGTGAATAGTTTTTACTTGAAGGAAAGATTAAAATGAAATTTTCTTAAGTACCACCTTCTTATCTTTTCTGTAAAAGTAACAGCTTTGTCAGTTGTAGCCCAATGTTATGGAATACTGTTTGCTACCATTATTTGAAATAAACTTATATAAATACAGCATATTATAAACATGGTCAAGATAATGCTGTTATAAAATCTGTATTTAAGGTTAAATGTTATAGTTATCAATTTGCAAACGTGTCTAGTTTCATATAGTTCATTCAAATTACTTAACTTGTTTTTTACTACTAGTAAAGTATTTTGCTAGATCTAATGGTTCTAATTGCTGTTAATTCTTATTTTGTAAAGATAATGATAATGTTGTAAAATTAAGGACAATCAACACATAGGGTCAAAATATAGTCTGTCTGTGTAAAGACCAACCCTCTCTATTTTTACTCGAGCTGTGGCAGTTACTATGGTTCATTGCTTAATTATTTCAAATTGGTTCACTATTAAAGACAGGTTTTGATTCTTGTCTTCGAAGGAATGGAATAATTTTTCTTCAGTCTATTGCAAAGCTACTCACTTCGAAAAGCGTTTTTTCTCGTTTCCATAGCAGCAGGTGGTTTTAGACCTTGTGGCAAGAGGAGTTCTTTATATCAACGAACTATAGGCAACAAGTTCATTGGGGTGTTTAGTTTTGTACATATCTCTAAGTATTATAGCAGTCTGTAACCCTTAAATTTCTGATTAGCTTTTCATTAAATTGAATTATAGACAAACTATAAGTAGCAAGTTCTTTGGAGTGTTTAGTTTTGTACATAGCTCTAAGTATTATAGCAGCTTGTAACCCTTATATTTCTGATTAGCTTTTCATTAAATTGAATTATAGACAAACTATAAGTAGCAAGATCTTTGAGGTGTTTAGTTTTGTACATATCTCTAAGTATTATAGCAGTCTGTAACCCTTAAATTTCTAATTAGCTTTTCATTAAATTGAAATAGTACCTATAATATTTTTCTTTTATTAGATGAGAGTGATTCTTGTAAGAATGCAGAATCTGAACTATTAAAGGCAAAAGCATTGAATGTGCTACCAGAATACAGTCCTGAAGCTTTTGAGATACTAACGAAGCTTGTTAAATTTCATCCACGTTTAGTGGATGCCTTGAATGAACTTGGTTTATGTTTTTGGAAGAAAGGTGATGTCAAAGCGGCTAAAAAATGTTTTGAAAATGCTTTAAGAGAGGTAGATATATCGATATTAGATTTCAGCTATTTATTTTTTATGTATGATTATTCAATTTGTGTTTACAGAAGCTTTTTGCATATATTTGTGACTTTTATATATGCAATAAGTATGCATATTTTAGAAGCATTACTTTATAAAATGCTTTATTACTGTGTTCTAAATTAACATTAGTAAATGATAATACTAAAGCAATATTAAAAGTTTATTCATATTAACGCCTGGCTGTTATTAGAATTACTTTGAAAAATGTAACTCAAATTGTTACAACAATTTTAATAGCACATATTTGAGTATTTTTACTGTATGTACTCTTTGTTACATTCTAATCTAATCTTCTCATAGGGAAAAAATGCAGAATCTCTGCAAAACTTGTCTATGATATTGAGACAACTTGGAGAAACTCCTGAAGAAAAGCAAAAAAACATGCTAGAAAGTTTAGAAAAAGCTAAAGAAGCTGTAGAAGTTAATGATGATGGGAAATCATGGTGTAAACATTAAGTTTTTTCTTTTTATGCACTCAAAATAATTTTTATTATCTGCTTTTGAATTGTTTAGAGAAGAAAAATGCTATATAAAATTATGTCTTTTTTATTTATATGCAATATATATATATAAAATGACATTTTTGATAACATATACATAATCACATTTATATATAATCACATTTTTGTACCAATAGTGAAAAATATTTCCCATATTTTAACTCTTCGGCATTATTCAAATACAAGTGTTCTTATTTGTAATTCTAACATAAATTTTTTTTATTTTAATAAAGTTTAAAAAATATTAAGTTGGATGATAATATTTTTTATGTGTCGAATTCCGTTATTTTTGTATATTTTTAATTGAATTCATGAGTCTTAGATTTTTGTTTCTCCTTAAAAACTCAAGACTCATGTCGTGTTATTGTTTGTCCTTAATTTAAACTTCTCGTCCTGATTTTCCTGTGCATGTATTCAAAACATCAAATTTTCTATCAATTCAAAGTAAGATTTATAGAATAATCAATTCTAGTGAATGAGGTGGTTTGGATTTTATTCCAACATCCTTTTATTTTTATTAAAAATCACATAATTTGATAATTCCATATAGGAGCCATCTAGTATTCATTTAATGGTTTAAGCATATAGTGATTATTACAAACTGTACGGCTCATTATTTTTAATTTTTTGCGAATTCAGTTGTTTTATGAAAAAGAAACTTAATTAACAATTTTACATAGGCAAATTTTTATGGTGATGAATTTAGGGAAATTATTTTCAGCATTAGTGAATTATTTTCAGCAAATGCAATAACAAATCTTGTACGGCAGAGTTTTGTAGTTTCATAATTATTCATTTATCTTTTTTTTATATGAATTTAGAAATGATGAATACCAATCAATAATACAGAGACACATATCATAAAATTTTCAAGCGGTATATTGAGTAATCAATTGGCTAAATTACTTCAGTATAAAATTGTGAAATAATATATTTACTGATTTTTATTTTAAGATTATTAAATTATTTGATTAAAGAAGTCTTGAACTCGATTACAAATTTTAATTTAATATTAGTATGAGAAAAACTTAATATTTGATATTAGTTATTTTTTTAGTTTTCTGTGTATTGATCTAAGACTGATACCAGTTCTTCAGTTCTCTATAAATAAAATTATACTGAAAACTGTTAAAGCTTGCTTTCTGTTTGAAAGAAAGTAATTATGTTATTAAAGATAGTATATTTTATTTTTCTGTTTGGATAAAATTTGCTTTTATATTTTTTTAATTGAATAAATTATACTTTTTTTAGTTTTTCATTTGTCTTTTTTAAAAGTAGTCTGATATATACTGTTTCAAAAATATATAAATATCCTGATTTATTCAATTGCTATGAGACCTGAAAACTACTGTGCTTATTTTCTTCAACATTGTGAAGTTTTATTAGCAGGTGCCTTTTTTTTTCTTCTAAAGATTGTTCATCTAACTTTAGTAACTTCCAAGAAGCACAATCAATATTTTAAATTTATTTTTCTATTTTTAATTACTTATTCTATTTCCAGTTTTTCTGTTTGATATTCTAGATCCAAGTTCCAAACACATGTACAAATTTTAGTAATTTTTAGATGTCATTATATGATCAAACATGATTATACATAGAATTCTTGATGTTTTAAATAATGTACTTTTATGATAAGGGTTTACTACTAAAAATAACATTATTTAAAAGTATTTTAAGATTTTATTTAATTGCCATTACAGATAAGATTCGAGTTTTCACATTTTACTTCTTTTTCTGATCTTGTTTCTTAAAAAACTAATAATACAAATTTATTATTTCTTTATTTTAGATATTGTAGGAAATGCCAACTTGAGCTTATTCTTTAGTTTAAATCAGAGTCCCAACTATTTAAAAGAAAGCCTTCTAGCTTACAACCATGCAGTAAGTTTTATTTTAAGAAAATTTTATTATATTTCTCTTCCAGTTTCCATATTTTTGACCAATAGTATTTTTCTTTTCTAGAGTCAAGATAAAGCTATGAAATGCAATCCTGATTTATATTATAACTGGGCAATGGTATTTATTTTAAATTTAAAATACAATTTTCTTCTTTCACTTGCTTGATTTTATAGTTGATTATAGTATTGTTTTGCATTATGATAATAAATTAAACATATGATAATAAATGAAAAAAATATTCATCATGTTAAAATGTGTTTATAAAAAATTCTTAATACTAGGACTAGAAGTATAATTTTTAATTCAAATGGAGCTCAGGTCAAAAACTGGATTTAGACATGCAAATTAAGAAAAATTTAAGATGATACTCATGATATGCTGAATCTTTTGTAGTATATTTAAAATATTGAACTAATATGTAAATATTTTCTAACACACATAAATTCTGATAAATAATTATATAATTACATTGATGTAGGGATTATAGTTGACTATATAACCATACTCTAATTTCAATAATCTGTGTTAATATAATTTAGTTGGTAACTTTATAAATAAAGAGATTTCAGCAAATTTTCTGTTAGCGTATAGTGGTCTGTATTTTGAATGTATTTATATAGACAAATAATTAAAGAATTATAATATTATATCAACAAAAATTTTCTTTGGAATAATATGAATTTCAAAGCATAATAAAAAGTTTTTTTACAACATTGTTTTTTGAACAATTATTATTACACCCAGAAAAAATTTCTTTTAAATAATTTGAATTTTTATCCATTATAAAGTTTTTGTTTATACAAAACATTTTCTTTCTTATGTATGTTAAAAAAAATAAGTATTCACTAATTTTATTTTATTTTATATTATAACGGGCGTTGAACAGCTGACCCAATTCTGTATCAGTGTTCCAACTCCGTAGCATTGTAATTGTGAACCATATCTAGAAGCAAGGAAATTCCTGGATCAAGTATTGGGAGAAATTTGCCTTTGTAGATGATGATGAAACTAACCCATAGTTGCTTTTTTGATGAAACTAACCCATAGTTGCATTACATGGAGAAGAAAATAACAAAAATCTTCCACGGTTAGCTTGACGGCAAGGGGACTCTAACCCATGATCAGTCTACCACTGAGGATATTTTACGTCAGTTCTGTAATCGGTGAGAGCCTGATTCAGAAATATTATCGAGAGCCATTGTCCTAGTGGGATTCAAACTAGGTCACTTCATCAGGAGACGAGCACTCTATCCTCTAAGCCAGTGTTTCCCAAAGTGTGGTACGCTACCCCCAGGGGTACGGGAACAGTTTAGCGGGGTTACGCGTTTTTATGCGAAATATCTTGACACTAACGAAAATTTCATTTAAAAATAAAGTTTGCCATGAAAATTTACGATTACATATTTTTCTATTGGCTATTTTTTGCAGAGTTAACAGTTAATAATTAGTGGTATCAACAGCCAGTTATGATTTTTAACTTTTGTGCAATTTTTTTATTTTTTTATAGTAAAAAATACATTGATTTTGTTATTAGTGGTACACAGCGTAAGGAAAAAAATAGAAAGGGTACAGGAAAGTCTTAAGTTTGGGAAACACTGCTCTAAGCCACCACAGCTCCAGCATTTCCTATTTGTTATAAAATATTGCATGCTATTTAAAATATCTATGATTATGTTTATGCCAATACATAAAAGCAATTTTTCGGCAGATCCTTATTGAAAAGGGGAAAGCAAGAACAATTGAAATTCCTTAAAAAACAGTGTAACGTTTTTTTTATTACGTTTTTGCAACAAAAAAAAAAACTGCAGAAATTTTTTTTAACTATGCAGTAAAACTTCAAATAAATGGACACTTGTGAGAACAAAAATGTTTCCTTTTATAAGAGTTGCCCATTTACGGGTAGGGTACACTAATAGCAAATGATGTGGAAATAATTAAATGTCTATAATAACTATTTACATTGATATTCATTTAAACTTAACAAAAATATCATATTTACAGTACAAAAAAGAATAGATGAAGAAATTTGATACACGCCTTTGTTTTATATTTATCCAGTTGAAAAGCAAGATTTGGTATAAGTTCCCTTCTTGGCCTTAATCACTTCTTCGGTCAGTTCCAATCAATAGGATTACATCTTCCTATTACTTGATAGGTAATAGGACTATACCTCCTTGAAGGTAAACCTCATGTCATGCATAGAAAAAAAGGTAATAGTACATACCTGTAAGGTACCATATGGAGTTGTTGTATTCCAAATCAATCGTTTAACAAGAATCTGAATAAATTTTTGATTTATATTAACATCTTTAAGAATTCTACATATTTTTTTTAACTGAGCTGTTTTAAGCACAAGAGTTAATTTGTTAGAAGAAAAACATTTTCATCAAGGAAGGAAATTGAGAACATCTATGGAAAGAACTCCCCTAGCCATTTGTCAAGAGTAGTGGCGGTAAACATGGCTACGAGATTTAACTATTTCAAGTAGGGGTGTTGGGTTTAATTTAAAACAGGTTTCGGCTCTTGTCGGCAAAAGATAGGGAATGAGCTCTAAATTTAGTATGTTTATGAAAATTGATACTTCAAGAATCAAAAGGTGAAAAAGAAAAAAAAAAAAAACTTTTTCAAGTAGTTTACAAAGTATGAAAATTACACATTTTATGTTTTAAACAAGGGGCCCACTATGGATTTCGACCTTGGGCCCATAAAACTTTTGTTTGACTTTGTTTTTAGGTCACAGTTTTATCCATGGCTGAAACCGGCGAAAAGTTTCTATCATTGTTCTAAATATATCATTGATACAAATTTTTGTTTTCATTAGGCCTTGAAGTATGATGAAAATTATAAACTGACATTGGAAAAATTAGAGTTGTCTATAAAATACGATCCCCTTTGGACAAAGCCTCAAGAAGAATTAGAATCATTGGTTAATCACCTAAAAAATATACAATTGATGATATCAACTAAGGTTTGTTCAAACGTTTTTTATTTTATTTTTATGTGCAAACCGAGTAAACAATGTATAAAAAATTTATGTGAGAACTTTAAGTAAATTTTTCTAATTTATGTATTGTTTATTAGTTTTGATTTATAGGTTAATTATTTTACACATTAAAATCTTTCTTGTTTCATTTTTAAAACTCATCCACTTAGTAAATGGGTAAATAAAATTGTTTTTAATTAATAAAATTATTCTTATCTAGATAAGTTTACAAAGATTAATCATAGAAATTAAGGTTAAAGGTGCTAATTTTTAGTATGAAAGATGATCTATTGTATGATATAAATTTTAGGAATTATTGTAAAAACAACCCATGTTTGAAGGAAGTGATTTGACGTTCTTTCCTTTAAACTTTGCTGTTTTGACAAAAAAAACAATCAATCTTAATAAGATCAAATGATCTTTTATGAATTTTCATTTTTATTTCAAAATGTACATTCTACTCAGAGTATAAAATTTCAATAATCTGTGNTCTTGTTTAATATTTATTATGTATATCTTTCAAACAAGGAAAAAGTATGCACATTAAACATTGCAGACTAATATTTTATAAAAGAAAAAATTGAAACGTTTTTAAACTTTAATCAATCATTATAAAGCTTGGGAAGAGTCGAGGAACAAGCAAAATCATTATTTTTCTAATAAAACTAAAAATGTTTTTATTTTTAACATTATGAACCTTTTTCTAGCTTCAACTTTAAAGATGATGACTTTAATCTATTCTTTGCTCCTATTCAGCTTAAGTTTGAAATTTTTTTCTATTTCACTTAGAATTAATTTGTAACTTTAACTTTGCGTAGTTTTCTTGTTCATTTTTTATCATGAATTCAAAAAAGAGATATAAATAAAAAAGAAAGAAATCATTAGTGTTTATCATGCAGTGACCTATATTTAATGTTCTGAGAAATTAGTTTAAATATTATGTTGCAATTCTTGCAAATAGGTATGAAAATCATTCATTGCCTCCATATCCATTAATTTATGATATGTTATCATCTGATTGGCCCTTTCCATTGATTGGTAATATGTTAATATCAAATTAGAGAAATTTCTGAATCTATATTTTCTATAAGAAATTTAACTTTAAAATTTGTTAATGAGATATTTAATTGTCCAAATTTGTCTTATTTTAAAGTTAGCAAAATTTGAAGGTTAATTTCAATTTATTTATTATAGAAAATATGAATACATTTTTTTTCTATAAGTGGCATCTGACTTATGTCACTATTTTGACATTGCCAAAATTTTGTATTTCTCATTTAATATTTTTTACTTAATCATGATGTATACTTTTATCTATATTTTAAATAACAAGTGAAAATTGTTAGTGTTACCAAATTTATTACACTAAATTAGACAATTGAAGTAATTCTATTTTTAAATTGATATCTGTATTTTAAGACCCTATTTAGTTGTTTAAAGTAATTTTTTACTAACTTTATTATTTTTAAAATGAAAATTTATTGCAAAGTTTTAAATAATATTTTTTAAAATCATTTGTTGATTTTTAAGGATTCATTAGTTAGTTCAGTAACAATTATCAAATCTTTAAAATCTAATAATTTACTTTTGACTTTTGCAGGGCAAACTGAAGTCCCGTAAAATAAGAGAAATAATTAGCGCACTCAAAAAAGAACTTGATAATTCTAATTCAACTGAAACTTTTGTTAATTCTATCGGACGATCTGAGACTTATCAACATTCCAAAATTTCGGATCTACAAGAAGGAAGTAATACCGGTAAAATGCTTAAGGGGAAAGTAGCGTGCCATGTTTATTGTTCTAATTCTTTACCATTGTAAGTATATATATATATTTTTTTTTGATACATTATAAAACATTTAACCAATTAATATCTTTTTATCCAGATTAAAAGTTTTCTATTTCTTATATTTTACGAAAAATATTTTTATATTTTTTATAAAAATTTTATATTATTTAATTCTCATATTTCATAAGAATTATTTTACTTAAAATATGTTATATAAATATATATATTAATATATAAATATTAATATACATTATATATTAATATATAAAATATATTTTTTATAAAATTTTTTTATTATTTAATTCTTATATTTCATAAAAATTATTTTATATAAAATATTATATTTTTGAAAAAAATTTTTTTTTCTTTAGTCAGTTTACATTTTAAATGAAAATATTATTCTAGCACATTTTGCTTGCTTGATGAAAAAGAAAATTGTTTTGCTGTAAATGTATACAATATGGCTCAAGGCAAAGGAGTCATCATTGGAGATAGTGTGATTATTTTAGATCCTCACATTCAACATTTTAATTTTGCATTTAAAGACAATGTAAGTAAATTTATGTATTTTTCTTAAATATTATTTGTATTAAATCAAAATTTATCCAATGGCCTTTAGCTTTTTTTTCTACTTGCACAATAACAAAGAACTTTTTTAAACTTAAAATTTTTATGTTTTAATCAGCGTATGAATTGTGTGCTCAATGCAAATACAGTAGAACCTTGATCGATTGTTTCTCAAGGCACCATTCGGTGCAAATGGTAGATATGGGTAAATAAAGAATGCAGGTTAATATGAAATATTGATCTGAAAAAGTATGAAAAGTAATAAAGACATATTGGACTTTAAAATAAATAAATATACAATAGGTATAAAAAAAAGTTTAAATGACATAGTTATAATATATTCAAAATATTTACAATGCAAAAAAAAAGATGAATTAATGCATTTATTTATGTAAAATTTATAGAAATTTTAGTTGACTCTTTTTGTAAAAACACAAAGAATAATTTTTTCACAATTATAGCAGATTGCTTTTTTTTTTCTGTAAATTATTGTGAATACAGAAATTTCCTCATTGCCCTAAAAGTTTTGAAGCTTTCAGCAAATTTTAGCACTGATTGTGGTTCTGTTTCATCATCCTCATCAGCATTCAATTTGCACTCCTTTAAGTTTTGCAACAATTTTTTTCAAATAACATCATACCACAAGTGTTAACATTTTCACTAACATATCATAATAAACAAACGTGATATTTAAAATGTTTTCTCAAATATGTAAAAAATCCTAGTTTTCTTCATTATCAATAGCATCAGGAGTTTCTGTTTTTATTACTCAAAACAAAATTTTTTTTTTCAAAAGTCAGTAAAATTTTTGAACAATGGACATGGGAATCTTAGTTTAAAAAACTATCTTAACTGGTATTATTAGATTAACATTCGTGAAGGGACCAATAAAACAAGATTATACATAGGGCAAACAGGCATCAAGGTTAAACTGTATAAATAAAAACAAATCATGAGCTTTTTACCTTCATGACTTCCAGTTAAAAAGCTTACAGCTGCTTACTACAGTTTATTTTACGAGACGATNAATCAATGATTTTTTTTAAAAAATCATTTGATTTAAATCATGATTTAAATCGTGATTTAAATCAAGCTGATTTAAATCAACGAACCCTGCTGCTTACTACAGTTTATTTTGCGAGACGATATTTTCAAACAGATAATTTTGATTTCAATAAAAGAAATAATTTTTAAGCTCAAATGTGCTGCATTTCATAAGATATTAATGTTATCAAGTGAGTCTGTTGAGTTTGAGTTAAAATTTGTTTTAATTATTTATAAATATGTTAATAAAGGCGACATGGTTGCTATATTTAGAAAAACTAGTTTTTTTTGGCTGTCCTGATTTAGATTCTTTTGACTTGTTTATTACTATTTATTCTTGTTGCAAGCAGTTCATACAGTAATGTTAGCATTTTGTTAGAGTAGTAAGACTAAGCTTTATGCTTTATGTAGCAAAAAATCATTTAGAACTAAGTCATACTCTACATAGTGAAAACACTTTGAGCGAAATGTCCCCAAAATACATAAGATACAGTAACCTGGAAAGATGGGCCTGCAGCGTCACTGGTGAAGAACACCATCTATAGATATTTTTTTTAAAAAATATATAAATAATTACTAAGTTATTTTCAATAGTTTATAATCACTTTCTAAGCGTGAAACAGTGTTCTCCCCAAGCATTTTTAGAAGGGCGGCTTGCCCTGCCTGCCCATTGATTCTCCTTAATGCACCCTCCTTGCCCTTTTTTTGAAAATAAGCCACCATCACTTAAAAACATTGTCTTTTTATTCACTTTTTTTCTCTCAGGAAGATGTCTTCTTAACCACCTGTTTTAATGATAAGTCCACTTTCAATTGATTTAGTAATTGATAATTATTTAACTTTAATTTTATTCCTTCATTTTAGTAAGATTTTTCTTATGTTGTCCATTTATATAATTAAAATTTACATGATATTCGACCCCAGAGATGTTAGTATATTTTTTTTCAATAATTTGGATTAAATTTTTCAAGATATTGTTCTATTAGATGAGATTGTTAACCAAAGTTTGGATTTCTTTATGAAAAAGTTTTTTTTCTTCTTCAATACATTGAAAAGAACAAAAAGTATTTAAAGCCTAAGAATGAGTTATAAGCTTAAATTTAAATATGTAAAATTTAATATAGTACAAAAATTATGAAGTTTTCCTTCATATTTACTCTTTTTCTTAATTTACTTTTACTCAAAATGTTAACCTTTATTTGACCTATAATGTTTTATTTTTAAATGGATTGCATTATTTTTCTAAATAAATATAAACATGTACTCTTACACATAGATAAATTATGTGTACTTATAATGTTTAGTTTACTAATTCCATTTTAAAAAAAATTTACTGTTTAGATAATAATTTCACACTGGAAAAAATTTTTAAATTAGTAATTCAGAATAAATAAATCAAATTAATTCTGATCACTATGACAAATATTTACGTTGTTCGCATTGCTCTCAAGAGTTTTAAGTTTTATTAGTTTCTTTTTTCAGGGGGGGGGGTTATATTAATAAATGTTTTAGTGTTTTTAAATTTTACGATTTTTTAAAAAAATAAATACCTTTTATTTAAAAATAAATAACTTTTATTTAAAAATGCCCCCTAAAATATTTATTTTCGCATAATAAGAACATTTCTATGCATATTTCCTTTAATTGTTTTTTAAAAGCTTAAAATTTTTCAGTTATATTGATAAGTGAGAATTACTTGGAGAAATATGCATATAAAATAGTATAAGAGGGCAATTTAAAAATTTAGAGTCAAGATCAGATGCATAATATTACACCTTCTGATAAACTTTAATGGTGGTAAGTGAGTGCCATTTCGAAACTCAAAGTGCTCTTTTCTGTGAGGGAGTTTTTTTTTAAATTTTATTTAGATGATGCATTTCAGAGAAATAAAGTTCCATAAATAAATAGGACATGTGGTTAAAATAAAATTGCATGTGATGCATATTTATTAAAAATGAAACGTACTTGCAGTTCACATTCACTTGCAAAGAATTATTCTGGATCTAAGTTTCAATTGTAAAACCAATGTGAAAACATACAAGCTATATTCATACTTACATAGAAAAATGTAAAAAAAATTATTTTCTTTCTATATTTATCTACGAAGCTTAAAAGCGATCTGGGTTTATAACCTGTATAAAATAAGTTAATGTGTTTATTACAGGGTTTAAAATTCTTTTTTCAAAAGTAAACGGTTTGTTGTTAATACATATAACGGAAGTGGTATTTAATTTTTTTAAAACAGAAATACAATATTAAAATAAGAGACATAACCCACAAACAAAATATATTGCTTTTTATATTTTTTGTAAGAAATATAGGACAAAAAAAAAAGAGAGATCGACTTTATTTTTCAAGTCAGCTTTGTACAACATATTTTTATGTAAGTACAGTGCAGAACCTCTTATCCGGATATCAGAAAACCAGAATGAAATTCGGAACCGGAAATTAATTTTCTTCCATTAAAAATTTTTTTTTCTGCAAGATTTTGTTATTTAGAGCGTACGGCGTATCGAGTTGACGAAAGAACTGATTTAGAGGACAGATCAAAAGCCGTTTGTAGACGAATCTCACATAAGCACAAATAGCTTATAGTATATGTTATTAATGTCAATAATAACATATATAAGCCTGTATATAATATTTATTTCATAATTTCTTTCCTTATTTAAACTTAAGTGTATTATTATTTATCATTTCTAAAACTATTTAAAAAAAATTTTTTAGTTTTCTTTTATAAACATTAAAAAAACGGCATTTTGTAGCGATTCAGAAAACCGGAAAAATCAGTTATCCGGAATCGCGATGGTCCCGATCATTCCGGATAATCGGTTCTCTACTGTATAAAGACAATTATATGCAACAAAAAGACTAATACCTGTTATAAAGTTTGCATTAAAAAAATGTTTAATTTTATTCAACGTTAGGCATAAAATATCAGTCCTTTTAATGCTTAGCTGTACAATTCAAAGTTGATTATCTGAAACCCAGGACATATTATTTACATTAAAGTGTAAATATTTTCCCCCTCAATTTAAAATTTCTTTTCAAAGAGGATTCTGATAAACTATTTTCATCCAACTTAACCAATTTTCTTCATTAAAGCAGATAGTTCTCAAAACTGCAACATATGTCAAAGAATTATTAATGTCCTTGCCTGGAACAGAACTATTTGCATCCATATAGCTATGTATGCTAAATGTTTGTTTCATTATGTGGATATTTGTACATAGTTTACATAATAGTTAATTAAATAAGGTTTGAAATTAAATTCTTTATTTAAATTTTTTTCTTTCAAATTATTGTTTCAGGGTTGACAAAAAATAAGGCTGTTCTTCAAACTATTGTTTTAATTAGAAATTTATGTGTTAAATAACTAACCAACCTATATTTTTTTCAACAGACTTATGCTTTTTCATCTATTCGTGTTAACAGTCCATTACAGTTGGTAGCGAATAAAAGGAGATTTGGTCGTGATACTGTTGCAACACCACAGCTTTCTGTAATTGTAAAAAGTGACTAATTGTTTATTTCATATGTATTTATGCTTCAGCTTCATATTTTTCTATTAAACATTTTATGTAAATATTATGTGTTGATTGATTTCTCCAAATATTATTATATTTTTGTACACAGCAATTTCTTTGCTTTCTAATTATTATTTAAAATGAAAAATAATTAAATGTATAATAATGAAAAATATTAATAAATTCCCTTTTTTTTTTGTTGAAAGAAACAGGGTAATTTGAAAATTATAGTTAGAAAGAAAGGTTATTTCTTTAATTTAATGCCATTGAAAAGTATCAAGGATATGGTAATCCAAAGTATGAGTTCTTTAGCTTACATTAGCCTTAAAATTTTTCATTAGAAGTTATCTTTTCAGAAGTAAAATTTGTACTCATATAGCTTATTAACCAGCAATTTAAATTGTTTCTTTAATATAATGCAATTGAAACCATTGAAAAAGTGTCAATGACATGGAAATTCCAAAGTATGGACTTATAGTTTATTAACCAGTAAAGTCAGAAATAATTACAAAGGTTAAAAATATACTGCTACAATATCTCAAAATTAGCACCCATTTAGGTAATGATATGCTACTAAGTTAAAATAATTACAACTTAAAAGGGAAGAGAGAATTAAAACTATTTGTGTTAAAAGCGTGTGTGAATAGAAAGAGAACTATAGATTTGATTAGCAAGTTATTGAAAATTACTATAAAACAGAAGTTTAAAATAGAAAAGTATGTACAATTTCTCTTATTTGCATATATATTCTGTAGTAAAATAAATAATTTCAGATAAACTTATTTCTTTTATCTATAAAATAAAAAGCACAATAATTTCTTAAAAAAAGGTGATTTTATTTCAGAGTGTACAAGACAGAAATGATATTTACAAGCAGTCACAAACAAGACTGTTACTTTTCAAGGGGAGCATAATTTAGTAACTTTTCAATGAGATCTACATGACCAAGGAGCATCCGTCGACAACAGTATCTTTTCAACCCTAAAGCATCGAGTGCATCGCTAGAAAAAAAAAGGCAAATAATGCAGGACATGTTAAAACAGATTGGGAAATGTTTTAATATTTAAAGAACAACACATGTCAGAAATGTGTTTCAGTGGAGTTAAAAATAATTTTTTGTTTAAACATAAGCAAACATTTTTAACAAATTTAAAAAACACTAAGTTGAAGCATATACAGCATATCTACCAACATTAGAGGATTTACGGACACATCCTTTCCAGTTGTAGAGAACTAAGAAATTTTTAAAACAAATAGAACTTTTATCAGAACATAAGAGCATTAGTCCCTCTGACTTTTTGTATATCTGTCTGTATTATTTATATCTAAGTAATGGTGGACAAAACTCTTTAAATTCTAATTTGTTAAGCATTAATACAAAATTTTGGTCACCAAAAGAAAAAATATTTTGTGAGACTATAGAAAATTGAAAGCAGTTAAAAGATATGATGTATTAATTACGGAAGCCTAAGAAATAGAGATGTTAGTGTACAGTTAATGATTATTGGCCATTTTGTATTGTTATTGAATTTATAAAAAATAAAATGCGTTGACTACATAGAAAAGTTCGATAATCTTTTTTCTATAAAATTATAAAAGTTCAAATATATTGAACAAATAAAAATATTGGATGCAATTTTTTTTTCTGTAAAATTCTTTTTATGTATTAGCCAGATGTACATTGTGCAAAAAATAAATAAATAAATAATAATAAATGGACACCTTAATGTTACTCATATTTTTTCATTAATTAATTGGCAAATTTTAGCTCACCCTATCAAACCATTAAGATTGAGTCCTAGGATGTGAGGATTCGATCAAATGTTATTTGGGGCACTCCATTTTTTATTTAGTGCATTGCACGTGCATGGTTATTAGAAAATATATATTAGGTTTTGAACAAAAATATTTTGAAGTTGCATCAAAGGGAGAAGATTATTTTTAACTGGATCTTCGATCACTCTGTTTCTGGTGTAAATAATGATCACCTAAGTTTTATTTTAAAAAATAAAATTTTTTTTAAATTTGAGAAATGGACAAGAATGCTTGTATACTTTACTAAAGTATAACTACATTCACTTAATAACAGTTTTTTGTTTAATCTAACAAAATAAGTACCTATATTTTAAAATGCTTTCTGCATTTTCCATTTCAAAGATGGGTTTCAAAATGTGCACATTTCTGCAAAGATCCCCCTCCTTCGCTTAATAAATATTTTGAGTTACTTTCTTTTTCTTTGATATCAAAATAGTGTAGGCTTTTGCTTAATTATTTCACATCTACTGTAAACATTATAATTGATTATAGGAAACTATATCAAATGTTGCCCCCTACAGATGGGGTAATTATTGATCACTGGGGTAATTCCTGATCATTGTAATTTCTTCTAATAAATAGTATAGAAAATAGCTAATAAATAGTCAATTGTTTTTTCCTAAATAACAGTTCATATTTATTAAATGGAACAACTATAAAATATATATTAACTATAATCACAAAATTTGTTTTTAACTGTATACAAGAATAATGTATTCTGATATGCACCATTTCTAGCTTGTCTTACCTTGCTTCTATCCTAATTTTATGTGTGTACNACATTTTTGAAAATTGGCGGGACGCGGGACAGTCCACCAAAAAGCGGGACTGTCCCGCCAAAATCGGGACGTGTGGTCACTTTACAATATAAATATGCTGAGAAATTATAAGCTTAAAAAGGATACTAAGCTTCTAGAAAGCAAAAATAGTGAATTTCTTTTAATGATTGAAAATGAAAATTTCAGTGTGAGAGCTGCTGCTAGAGCTGAAGGGTTAATCTTTATTCCTAATTTTAAATAAAAAGTATTATTAGCTGCTTAAACATATCTTTTGGGTTTATTTGTTTGATCTTAATGTCTTATTTGTTAATTACCATTGTAAAATTATTTTTAAACAGCCCATTTACTATAAAAACTGGTGATCAGTAATTACCCCAAAAATGATCAGGATTTACCCCAGAATTGATCAAGAGAAGGGGTAATTCCTGATCACTAAAAATTTAAAATCTTTTAAATTCTAATTAGATTTTCAAACAAAAGAAGGTAGCATAGAACTCATTTCATATAGCCTCAAACTTCCAGTAAATATTAAAGTTCTGTCTTGAATAGTTTTTTCACAAAATAGATGTTTGTATTTTTAGATCAGGAATTACCCCAGATCACCCTATATTTGAAATACTAACAAGGGTCCTAAATTGACGTATTAAAGACTGATTCACCTATGTAAACGGTTGCAATGTTTTGATTGCATTAATTTTAGATAAAACAAAAATAAAACTTTACAAACAACAGTAGTCATTTTAGTTCCTTACCCTTCAGTATATTCAGCTTGTAATAATCCAAGATACGATTCCCATTTATTTCCAATAACTTTACCGCACGTAAAACACCGTATGGGTATAATCATGTTCACTTTCAAGAACTGAAAAATATTAAATCCACCATTAATAAAAGATAAAATTCTTTTCAAAAAATATGTTTGAATTGCTTAATAAAATAAAACACAAATTAAAACAGGGTTGCCATTCAAATCGAAAAAAAATTCCCTGTGCATGCTATACGCAATATATTAAGAGGAAACAACAATTACTGTGCTCTCGTGTGAGCTATATTCGGCTAACTATATTTATTAGTTTCAATTGCTGGAAAAACAGCTGAACATACTTAAATAATGCTATGGTAAATGAAATAGTTTAGTATAGCTGAAGTATCATGGTTAAACATCTCATAGATTACGCTTTGAGTGGTCAAAATTATTTAAAAGACCAAAATAAAAAAAACAAAATTCCCTGTATTTTCCCAGTTTGTAAAGAAAAAATCAAAATTCCCTGTTATTTTAGGTGATTTTTAAATTCCCTGTATTTTCCAGGTTTTCCCTGTGGAGTGGCAACCCTGTAAAAGACACAAACTAATTTCCTAATTTTTATCAAATAAAAATGAAAAAAGTTGATTTCATGTGATCTATTTTTTACAATAGCATATAGCTATTGTAAAAAAAAGATATTATATCTAGAACTTATATCTATGTTCACAATCATAATTTATACAAAGCCTTCGCTCTTTGTATAAATTATGATTGTGAACATAGATATAAGTTACTTACAAATAACTACCAGAATTAGTTTTCTAAATTTGAAGAATACGTTAACAGTAATAATTAAACACTAACTAAATTTCTCAGAGACTCTCAATTCAAAATCCAGATTCGCATCAAGAAAAAGCCTCGTTGGAAAAACCAAACCGAACGAAAATAAACAAAAATTATATGCGGTTAGAAGTTAAAATAGGAGTTTCATCTCATAAAATAATTATGCCATTATTTTGAAATCAGTTTTATCATAAAACTTATGCTGCAACTGAACTGAAATAGGCAGTGGGAAACGTAAAATAAATTTCTCTACTAGTTCCCCTCTTTCCCCTTTCTCTCATTCTTGATGGTAGCCTAATATTTATGTGTTCCTTGGTGTGTTCATATTTGTTGTATGGGTAAACTTTAATGTTTTTTTTTTGTTAATCAGAATACAATCTATTTAAATTATGTCCGGTGATAAATTAATTGCTTCCACATTTTCAAGGAATGAAGCATTAGGTTTAGTGTTTCGTTTAACATTATTTGGCGCTTTAACTTTTTATGGTGTAAGATGGTTAATGAAAACACTTGATCCTACTCGAAAACAGAAAGTTGAAGCTCAGAAACGGGTATGTAGATAAAATTATAGTCCATTTTTTGTTGTTTACTAGATTCCTTTGTCTATCTTAGTCCTGCTTTTTTCTATGTAATGTGAAATTGTTATGATGTAATCGATCAAATTAGCCCTTAAAGCATCCTGTGGTGAATTTCTAATGTAGATTGGCGATTGTTTGAAAATTGTCGCCAGTACTAAACTAATACGTTATTATCTAAGTTTATGTGTGTCATTTTGCGGTAATGATTTTATTTTACAATTGTTCATATATAAAAAAATTTTGATGTTGGAAAAAAAAAAGTTTTACTAATATGTGCTATAGCACATCAAAAAAGATTACAGTAACTCTCAAGCATGTTTGCTCACTGACGAGTTTTTTTAAAAATTACTCTGTCCATTAATTTGTATCAGAATGTAGTTAATTATAAGAATCATGTTCTGTACGAAAATTGCATGAAGTATTTTCAAAAAGTAACAAGAACTTTCTTTTTATGAAATATTACAAAATCTTGGAGATATTTCTGTATCATGATCTGTTGCTCCTATTACAATAGCCAAGGTGCCAAATAGATTTAAACTTGCAAATGTTTTTAAAAAGACATGTAAATGTTTCCCCAGGGATGGTTGCCAGTTATATCTTTCAAATCAGTCCCTTTCTGTTCAAGTTGGTCTTGTTTTTAGTTTCTCAGGAGCCTCTGCTTGGAAGTTGCTAAGGATTGGTGATTATTCTGCCACAGATCGCAATACATAAATCTCTCCTATGTTACTTTGACCAAATGGTTTTTAAAATGCTGTATCAATGTAAAGTTTTAAATAATACTTAACTAAATAAGTTTTATTATGTTCATATTAATTATATTTATTTTAATATTCACTCTGGTTTACATCATCGTTCACTACATACATAATAGCTGATCAGATAGTCTCAGTTTTAAAGTAGAAACACATGCCAGTATAAATACAATACAAGAGCTTGGTTTTTAAAGACACCTGGTGGCTAAGTAGTAGTGTTTCCCGCCATCACCCATTCTGTTAGTTTGATCCTTGGCCAAAGGATAAATAGTGTGACCTATCAAAACTAAGCTAGATACTAAGACTTGATTAGAGTCCCTCCGTCCTTTATATTGTTTGCTAACTACTAAGAGTTATTTAATTTTCTTGTTTGCAACTGCTCTATGATAATATTTTTTACACATTAAACACTTCCAAAAAACAAAAAAAAGATTAGATCTCAGTTGCAACAAAATATTTTGAAACTCCTCATATAAAAAGCAATAAAACATACAATGAAATCTGATATGCTGTAAGCAAAAATTTTAAGTACTTCAAATGCAGGGTGACAACAAGACAAATAATGGTTTGTTCTGTTTTAACCAAAAATTAGAACATTGATTCAAAGTAATAAATTTAGTTTTATCTTTTTATAATGAAGTATAAAATTTCAGCACTGTATAATTTCGTATTTAGTAATCTTATCTAAGTTTTCCTTTTTTTTTTTTTCAAATTTATTCAATGGTGACTGGTTTATTAATTTAACTGTCACATTAGGTAACCATTAAAGTAAAAGGGTTACCTACAGAAGAAGAAACTTATCTCTTTCGACATATCAGGTGTGCTATATTCTTTCTCTGCCAATGAAAAAATTCAGGCTGGTTTTCTCAGCTATGAATTGGGGGAGATTTTTTAATTGTGACCTTCAAATTAGCATCTGCTCGCAAAGTTTCAAACTTATATTTGTGTCTGTAATCATCTGAAGAAGTATTGATCGAAGTATTGATAAGTTTTTTTTTAAATGTTTTTTTTTAAATAGAATTGAATAGTTAGTTTGATTTGAAATAATAATTTTGTACAATTTCAAACACAATTATAATGAATATTTTTTTTTTAAGATTCTCTTTAAATGTTTTAAGCTACTATAATTACATATTTAAAATTTTTAAAAGGTAATTTTTAATATTTGTCTTAGATAACAATTTGTAATTTTTAATCTTTTTACAATCTGAAAATACTTATACATTAGAAAACACATACATATAACCAGATCAGAAAAATGTAAATCCCTATCCAGAACTGTAATGAGATAATATACAGTAGAGCGCTGATTATCCGAACTGCTCGGTACCGAATGTGGTTCGGAAAATGAAAAGTTCGGATAATTGGAAAGTTGTTTAAAATCTAGTTTAAATGATTGTTATTTATGCACTAACTTCTCTTCACACTTTTTCCAGGGTTAGTACTGACAGTACTATCTAAAATAGCACTGGTGTGTTTAAATGTTTTTTTTTCCAATTTTTAAATATTTTTTATAAATTTTTTAAAAACTTTTCTTTCTTTCAGAATTTTTTTTAAATCATATTTCAGCTTTTTATAATTTTTTTGTCAATTACTGATTTTACATTTTTCTTTATTTTCCATTGGAAAGGAAATCCAGAAAAGACCTTTGTTTCAAAGAAGATTCTCTTTTTTAAACAGATCTCTTATTCTTTTTAAATGAATCAACTGAATTAAATATGGTCTTCAGATGTAGTGGCTATTATTTATTTTTCTAAATTTAGAAAAATTTTCGATAAGTTAAAAATTATTCTAAACTTCAAAAAAAAGAATCCAAACATAGTTTGAATAATTGGACATTCGGATAATCGGCGCTCTACTGTAATTTTAATTACCTAGTAGAAAAAGATAATTAATCAAATATTGGCAGTTTATTTTTATAAGCTGATGATATGATTGAATCATATGATGATGAACTTTCGATGATCATTGAATCATAGTTTTGGAATATAATTGACATGCAGCTGTCATTTTCTTATTTTTTGGATCTTTGCATTCAAATATCCAGAAATCTTTATAAAAATTTACGAAATTTCATGTTATGGTCTTGAATTAAATATTTAAGTAGATGTTTTTTTATTACAGGCAGAAAGAATATTGGACAGAATTGGGGTGAAAAATGTCAAGGTTAGTATTTTATATCTTAAAAAAAATATTTATGTGTTTGATTAGGCCAGGATAGCCTGGTTCGTAGGGCACTGGGCTCATGTCCAAGAGTTTGTGGGTTCGATCATCGCCGGCCGAAGGCTCCCCGTGTAGTAAATGGTGACTGGTGCCCGTTAAATCTGTTGAGTCGCTAAGTCCTCCAAGTTCCCATAACAAACCAATACCTCTTGGGGTACGGAGTTGAACGTTAGTACTCGTAAACCCAAATTTGGGTCGACTGTTCAGCGACGGATATAAATATAAATAAATGTGTTTGATTTGTTGCGAGGTGTTATTTAGGGCAGTGAAAATTCAAAAGTTAATTTGAAGTTTAAGTTATTATATTTTATAACTAGAATTGAACAGCTGACTCAATTTTGAGTTAAGGACTATTAGTGTTCAAATCTGTGGCCTTATTGTTTTGAACCCATCCCAGAAGACAAGGGTACCCCTGGATCAAGCATTGAAACAAACTAGCCTTTGGAGAGACTTTTTGATGTAACTGACCTGCATTTGAGGTAAATGGAGAGAGAAACTACAAAAATCTTCCATGGTTAGCCTGATTGCGAGGGGTATATAACCCATGACCCGCCTATCACTGAAGATATTTTACGTGTGGTATCTGCGAGTCTTGAACAGAATTCTCATCAACCAGTCATCTCTGGGATTTGAACCTGGGTAACCTAATTGGGAGGCAAATGTTATATTGTAATGGTTATAAATGTATGGTATAGTTAATAAATTATGAAAATAATAATGTAATGGTTGTAAGTTAATTCAATTTCTTTTATGCTTATCTTTAATTTAGCTCAGTGAATATGAACTATCCATTGCTGCACAATTAGTTGATCCTTCGACTATAAATATATCATGGGAAGATATTGCTGGCTTAGAAGATATTATTCAAGAAATTAGAGAGACAGTTATTCTTCCAATTCAAAAACGTGAACTGTTTTCTGGATCAATGCTTATCCAGCCTCCAAAAGGTTAATTGAATTATATTTTTTATATTTTCATGCAGTATTATAATTTTATTTTAAGAATTCATTTTAAGTACTATATTTGAAAAGTGCTATAAGAAAGTTGGTTAACTCTACATATAGAATCAAATAGTGCATTTTTATTGTTGATTTGTTGGGAAAAGAAAGCAAAACTTGTTGATAGCTTATTCAAGGCTTCCATGGGTCAGGGAAAACAAAAAATACTTAGAATTTTCAAGGAATTTTATTTTTACTCTTAAAATGCAAGGCACAGTCAGGAAAAATTACTTTTCATTACAAAAACCTGGAAAATTCTTTCTAATCTGTTACAATTATTTGTTGTAAAAATAAATTTTTTTAGTGAAATTTTATTCAATGATACATTTTTTGCTCACAAAATCTCATATTTGACATAACAAATAAAGAAATCAGGTTTCCATAGAAAAGTTGCATTGCATAGAAAAAATATGGTCTGGATTTACATTGAAATTTTCCTGAAATACCTGTAAAAGTCAGGGAATTTCTGAAATTAAGTGCGAACCTTTCTTATAGGTGGAATAAAACTGGAGAATGAAAGTCAATGAATTTCTGAAAGGCCTGTTTAAAATCATTTTTGGAAGTAATTTTTTTATTATTATTATTAAAAAGTTGTCTAAATTTAGAAAAAAGTAGTAGTCAGTTGGGTTATCGATCTAGTGACTATAGAGGAAGGTGACAAAGTTCAGATTCCTGTAGTTTGGCCGCAGTTATTTATACAATGCTGTTGATTAAGACAGGAGACTGTTTACAAATGTAGGCTATTTTCTTAAGATTTTTGCATCATTTAATCTAGTATGTTGTAGTATATTTCTATAGTAACTGATGAGACTGATTTCATAAAATCATAATGCGTCATACCTGTGTTAGAACCCCAAATACTCACCATTATTTATATATTTATTTTTTAGCGAATATTACACTAAGAATATGTCTTGATGATTTGTCCATGTTTCACTAAGATTAAGGCTAACTACACACTATTAATGTTTTGAGTGGTATCTGATGCCATAGTGCCATGAAAGAACTCTTTAACTCTTTCATATTGCAACTTTCTGATCAATCCGTTTTCTATAAAATAAATTTTTTAAAGAAAAATCTTTTTATATTTTTTGAGCTTCTGATGATTTTTTTTAACAAGTGAGATATGTAACTTTTTAACAAAAGAAAAAGCAATAGTAACATATTGAGCCAATGTTAAGTAATAAGCTGTTTTAAGTTGACATCTACAACCTATAAATTTCATTCTTGATGACCTAATACATTACTGTGTTTATAATTATTAAAAGTGTTCTCTAAAAGGAGGAACATGGAAGACCTGGAATTGTCAGGGAGTTTTACTTTAACTCTAAAAATCAGGGAATAGTTAAGGAAAAATGAGCTTTTTTATACAAAAGCCTGGAATATTCCTATATCATACCCAGCAAATAACCAGTCTTAAAATTGTCAGTAACAGTAATCAGTTATTAAGATTAGAGATAGATAATTCTAACATCTATTTCAATTATTTGCTGCGATAATTTCACATTTTAGTCAAACTGAAATATGTTCCCATCCTCATTTTATAATACTTTTTTACACAGAAAATCTAACATTTCACATTACAAATAAAAGAATCAAAGTTTTCTGATGAAAATATGGTCTAAATTATCATTAAAATTTACCTGGTATACTTGGAAGAGTCAAGGAATTCTTTTTCTGAAATCGAGTGGGAACCCTGATTGCTGCCTTAAAATGTGCTGGGCTCTAAAATTTGAGAATTTTGATTACTAATAAGTTTTCTAATATTTAATAATTAAATATGGTAGTTAACGAGATTTGTTTTTATTTATTTTCAAGCATTTTATTTTAAAGAACAATAAAAAAATCTTTTATCTAGTTTTTTTTCCCTCAACATTCATACAGTTTGGAAATATAATGAGGAATAAGAAGTTACCCGATTCTTCTTCCAATTTTTAACAGAGGAAAAACTGTGATGTTGAAGTTTGAAAATTTTCTGCAAAGAAGTGATGTACACTGGTTTGATTCAGGCTTGCGTGATTTTTTTTTAAACAATACCCATTATGTATAGTTTGTCTAAAATAAAAACTCACCCAGACATTAGTCTGGACCCGTGTTGGTGACTATGGTAGCAAGGTATGACTATTTCAAGAGCGGGTGTGGGGTCACTGCTTTGGAGTATTTTCGTGTAGGCGAGAGAAAGGGAATCTCTTTCTTTGTCTGTTGTGCTAGTCCTAGATTGAAGCTACTCTCCCTAAATTGCGCAATTCTTGTTTCCATAACACCAAATGGCCTCAGACTTTGTGGCGGGAGGAGTTCTTAGCTTAGACAAACTGTAGCTAAAATTTCTGTTTGAAATATCTCTCTCAAATAATGGTTATGTACCAGGAAATAAAATTCTTAAACTGGCATTTTTGAAATCTATTAACTTATAATGTGAAGAAATATTTTGTTTGTATAATAATCAAGTTATTTTATGAAATTGATAAAGTAAATTATTAAAGTTTCTATTCCAGCTCATTCTTTTATTATCAATAATGCATCATTATTTTGAGTATGGTGTTTATCAATTGTTTTTTTCCCCTCCCTTTTTTTTCATGATTCGAAGCAACATTTGCAAAGAATTTAATTAAATATTAGACTGATAAAGATATACTGCATTATAACCTATATACTAAAACATGTCATTCCAGTCTCAATTCAAGAATTTAGAAATTTTGAAGTACCTAAAAATCTTTTGTTAATTTAATCCCTTAACTTTATATCCTAGTTTCCTAACTTTACAAATAGTGTATTGTATTTACATAAAATTGAATTTCAATGTTACAAGATAACTAAATTGAAGGTATGATAATGCTCACTTTATCTAGTCCATGCCTACTTCTGATAAATAAATTTTTATTACATTCATTAAATATGTTTGCTTTTTGAAAAGAATGTACATTGTATGTTGTAAAACAATAGCAATGCTCTATAATTTCAAGAAAAGGTACATCAAATATAGCTATTTTGACACGGCTATATTTAATATACTAAAAGGGTAGTAAACTCCCTTAGAGGTACAAAAAGTCTGAAAGCGGATTTAATTAATGAAGAAATTAGTGTTTATAATTTTTTTTACTGCCCAGTGCTGTAGAAATAGGAAGACATCTGTTATTAAGATATAGAAAATTTGTTTTTTTAGGAGTGCTCTTGCATGGACCTCCTGGCTGTGGGAAAACTATGATAGCTAAAGCCACAGCAAGGGAAGCAGGTAATTTTTTTCTTTTTTTGCATAAACATTTTTACTTTTCCTACTGTTTCTTTATTTGCATTCTATTTAAAAAAAATATACATATATTGCTAAAATGTAAAATTAGTGTTTTTTTTTTTCTAATTTTTTTTTATTTATTTGATTTTAATCAGAATTTTACCACGTTTATATAAACTTGCCTTCGTGTATGTCTTTTCGGGTGGAATTTTGTAATCGATTTTAAACTAACTTCCCGACTAGCAACTAATTTAACTTCAAATTTAGCACACAGTTCAGAATTGGATGACAATGCATGAAAATGAAGAGAAAAAAGACATGCAAAGTAAAATAAAATTAAAATTTAAAAAAAAATTATTTTCGAGATTGTCTTTTGTTGTCGATTCCATTATTTCAAATTATTACGTGTCAGGTGAAAAGATTTTTGTTGTCGGAGTATTTTTATTGGCTGAAAAATCACGTGGTAGGATCCAGTTTTTCCTCATTCATTTCCAGATTGTTTTGGTTGTCATCAGCATAAAACTAATGAAACTCGTAAAGGTATTCGCGATCGCAACGAACTATAGGGGGCGTTGTTGTATGAGACGCTTACCTGCGATTTCCATATGAACCGTCATTCAGTTACTCTGGAGACGTCGTTAATGTAGCGTGTAGCATTGCAACGTTCCTTCTTTAATGTGGCTTATTAAATTTAAAAAAGAAAAATGCTTGATCTTCTTTCTTGTACAACCGAAAACAAAATGGTATCTGCAATATTTTTCTGTCTTGCAATCAAAACACATCGGAAAAATATTTGTACATTAA